TGTCTGCAATTGTTTTTAACTTTGTAAGTTTGCAAGCTATGAACATTTCTTTATATTTAATTTTCAAGATATGCAAGTAGATATTTAAATTTTACTTAACTGACGATTTTATCTATTTATATATTTTTCATCGTGGACGTCTTTTCAAGATAATGTTCATGTTTTTCGAAGTACCGTGAAAGTATTTTTAAGAAATTGATAAGCTAGTTGATCTACTGGATCTGTATATGTTTCCAGAGTCTAAAACTAAAGAACGAAAAGTTTTGACTTAAATTTTAAGTTCATGGTTAAATGCCACTTCTGACTTAATTTAAACCTGAACTTTAACCGTGTGGTTAAAATCTTGAAATCCCGCAATCCCTATTTGTCTATTATCATTCAGTGGTAAGCGGCATCCAACTAATTATGATATATTTAGAAGTAAAAACCGATTAAATAAATTTCACGTTATAGATTTATTAATGTTTGCATGTAAAACCAAAATACTGTTGTAACTGGAAATATGTTTTGTCTTCCGTTACGTAAATAATTTAAAATTTAAGAAAACAGCTGATCATACCGATACTTACGTAATAATTCTCCGTAAATCCTTTTCTCTGATTGGTTCAGATTTTTCCCGGGAAATTCAAATTTAAAATTGAGAAAGTTTAATATTTAATTAGCTATTCATTATTTTACAGAACTTTTAACCTCGAACTTAAAATTCGCGCATTCTTTAGTTTTAGACTCTGGTATATCAATTCCCAGGGATTGTCCATGTGTAATGAGAATATTCAGAAATATATATCTTAAAACTGAAAATTTAGGATTCTTTACTTTAATGTCGATTCTTTTGCAATGACTTTAAATACAGCTAGCTACGGTTAAATGTTACTGTCCCATTTTCATTTAATCATAACTGACGTTGTACTTTTCATTAATGATTTTAAGAGATACATAACAGAACAATACCAACATGCGATATTTCTGCCCCGTCAATCAATCAATATTTGGGATCACATTGGATGGTAATTTTGTATTGTAACGTGTGACTGTTACAACTTGACATTTTAACAGATATTTCATTTAAAACAATTATAAGAGATACATAACAGAACAATAACAACATGCGATATTTCTGCCCCGTCAATCAATCAATATTTGGGATCACATTGGATGGTAATTTTGTATTGTAACGTGTGACTGTTACAACTTGACATTTTAACAGAAATTTCAGTTAAAACAATTACCACACCTAAGAGAAAGAGTAGGGACTTAAATTTACCTATTATTTGATTAAAGCGTTTATAGTTTTCAAGAATTTGAATCAAAGCCGTGGCTCAAATATGGTTGGTTCCACTTAAAATCTTATTCAATGTTTCAAGATTTATGCTGGCGCTCAATTAAAACCGGTTTTTGGCGGTTTTCAGAGGCGGCTTAAATTCATTAAATTTGGGCACAGTCTTCATAGTTGGCCACTTCACAGGATTTTTATTTCTAGTTTTCTATTTTTCTTGATTCGCGCGCCATGTTTAATTTGCACAACCCTTCCTGTCCAAATATAGGCCAGGCTACTTAGAGCAGAGCATTGCTTTCTATGTCCTAACCTTCCCAGTGCTAACTGACAACGGATTCACATGAGATTATTTTACAAGTTTTGGCAACTCACTATTAGGTTGAATCAGAAATTACCGAACTAAGTTTAGATCTTAAGAAAGTTACAAGAGCAATTTAGAAAACTATCGAGACAAACCTTAATAGAAAATTGAATTCAAAATATTTAACGTGTTAAGTGCTTTTATTTACAGACAATAATGCATAAAAGTAAATCTAAGATAGAAAGAGCTTTGACATTGATGGATTTATTTTATAGAACTTAACTCAGAATAAATTAGAGAAAAACAAAACCTAAACCAACTCAGTAGTTTCATATACGGAATCCGAAGGTTTTTTTTCAAAAGTAAATTTTTAAGAATTTCTGAATTTGAAAGTTTAAATAAAACCATGAAATCACACTAGATCGTGATGTAATAAGAAAAAAGTCCTGTGAAATGACATGAAATACGAAAAAAAATATATCTATATGAAATCTAGGATAGTTTAAATTCTTTTAAAAATTGAAACTATTTGCGCCAATTTTTGCACTTCTTGCTTGAATTGCAACTGCAAATTATTTAGTTGAACACAAAGATGAGAACACTAAAAGATTTAAATTCTAAACAAAAAAGAAAAAAAAGTATTGTTTTAAACACATTTTTGGTTAAATCAATCATAAATTTAATGATTGGGATTTCTGGATTTTTACATGAAGTTCACCTGACTAGATATGTTGTATCCCCTGAAAATAAAAGGATAAAAACTGGAACAATATAAAATAAAGTCACACAAGATGTTTTCAGTAAAGTTGTGTGAGAAAGAATTCTCTTTATTTCTCCCCCTTGGGCTCAAGTTGTTGAAAATAAATCTACAAATTCTAAAATTGCTCCTTAGATATGTCGGGATTCTTTAGATATGTCCGGATTCCTCAGATATTTCGGGGTTCCTTAGATATATCGGGGTTTCTGAGATATGTGGGGGTTCCCAAGATATGTCCGGGTTCCAGAGATGAGTCGGGGTTCCTTATATATATCGGGGTTTCCGAGATATGTCGGGGTTCCGGAGATATGTCGGGGTTCCCGAGATAATGTTGGGGTTCCAGAGAAATGTCTGGGTTCCTTAGATATGTCGGGTATCCCCAGATATATCGGGGTTTCCTAGATATGTCGGGGTTCCCAAGATATGTCTGGGTTCCAAGATATTTTTGGGTTCCTTTGATATATCGGGGTTCCCTAGATATGTTAGGGTTCCGTAGGTATGTCAGGGTTACCTTAATATGTAGAGTTTTCCAAGATATATCGGGGTTCCCTAGATATGTCGGGGTTCATATGTCGCCGGGGTTTCAAAGATATGTTGGGGCAACCTAATTGTCTTGGTACCCAAACAAATCATCCACTTATAATGAAATTTATATCCTTCAGGGATATATTTTATATGTAGTTAAAAGATGCTAAATTGTTATTTTGATTCCAGAAATCGTGATTAGTGACGTTCAATAGATGAATATTTTGCATTTAAAAAAAAGTCGCTTTCAAAGTCAAATTTTCATTTTTTTTGTGTTTTTGTTTTTGGTGTGATAGTTTAAATTACATAGGATTCAAAGAGAAAAATTTGTTAAAAGTCTTTAACCAAGAAGAATTTACTGGGATAGGGTTTAAGCTTAATTCCATTGACAAAGTTTGTGAAAAAACATCAAGCCATATAGTATTGATTTTAAAGTTCTGATTGGTCGAGTATTGAAATTTATGAACTTTGTTTCTTACAGAGAAGATCATCTCTGAAGAGTAAAGAAAATTAACTTTATCTGAATGAATTTAAATCGTTTCTAAAATAATAAGTTTCCAGCTCAGCTAGGAAATCTATTAAGTATTCAATTTTGCTTAACACTCTTTTTAATGGAAAATGTCCCATTTTCTCTCTACAATTTATTTAAAACGTAAACAAGAACACGTCAAAAACAGACCTAAAAAAATGAGTGCACAAATAAACACGCACGTGCTCAAATTTTAAAGATTAGAAAATTGTTTATCAATAAAAGTAAGATTTACCAAAAGAAAATTAAAGATATTCTTTTACTGCGAAATGTAATTGGAGAAAAAAATCAAGAGCTTGCAGCTTACAGTTTCCCCTTTTTCCTCTTTTTTTTCAAAGTTTTTTAAAAGCCAGGGCATATAACGATATTGTCCAATGTTTTTTTAAGCTTCCTAACTGTTCCTGCTGTAATTAACTATTTTTTCATCGATCTGAAATATTTCAAAATATTAATAATTCTGAAGGGCCCGGCGTCGACGGTGGAATTTTTTTTTTTAAATTCAAATTTTTGTTAACCTATGTCACCCCCAGGCTACCCAAAGTACCCCACGCACCTCTGACCCTTTAGTAAAAGTAAATTTCAACCTAAAGTCTGACCGCGTCAACCTTGTTACAGCTGCCCGTGACCCATGAGTGCCCAAACAAATGTCAGTCCATTCGATCCAGCCGTTTGGCCGGCTATAGGGAACATATACACGAATGTCTTGTTTTATTATATAGATTATTTTTTTAGATTTTATAATAAAAAAAATAAAGCTTACAATTACATTATTTTGATGTCGTTTCAATATCTAGGCATTGTCTTTGAATATTTGTTGTTCTGAATTCTTCGAATAGATTGTATGGATGTTTTCTGTTTTTTTTTTGTTTTAAAATATTGTAATGTTGGTTTTAAGAATATCGATATATTTCACTATTGCTATCGTCTAAAAAATATTTTTGTTACTGTTACTGATAATTTGCTATTAATGTTGTTTCTCTGTGTCTCATCGAAGGATGAATTAGAAACATCATTTGCAGGTCTCTAGCGGACAATATGTCTTTTATACCATAAATTTACTCCACACAAATTGACTTGTATTGTACAAGCTATCCCGGGGGGGTTCAACACAAATCCAAGGATAGATAGAGGATAGATAGAGGATAGATAGAGGATAGATATAGAATAAATAGAGGATAGATAGAGGATAGATAGAGGATAGATAGAGGATAGATAAAGAGACAGGGGAAAGATTGAAGATATATAGATGATAGAGGATAGATAGAGGATAGATAGAGGATAGATAAAGAGACAGGGGAAAGATTGAAGATATATAGATGATAGAATATGGAGGATAGATAGAGGATAGAATATAGAGGATAGATAGAGGATAGATAGAGAATAGATAGAGGATAGATAGAGGATAGATAGAGGATAGATGGAGGACATTATAGAATTGACAAAGCTATAAATAATTATTTGTTTTTTTTTCAAAGAAATTGATTATTTTGTAGGTTTTGCATAAATCCTGAATGAATTCCAAATGTCACAGATATTTTCTTCCTAGAATTTTTAGCCAATTTTCTCCTTCTGGAGGTCTAGAGGTCCATGAGCTGTCTATAAAGTTACTAACCTGAATATTCCTCCATAGTTGATGTATCCTCACAGACTGGAGGTCTAGAGGTCCATGAGCTGTCTAAACAAGTACTCTCACTGCTCCCATCTAGATGTTGCTTCGCATCCTGACACCTGGACAAGATAAATTTTATGCCTAAACGCAAAATGTTGAAAGCATTGTCATTTTGTTCATTTACATCAGCTAGTAATAAAACGTTGCTAAAAAAGAAAAACGGTTTTTATAAGTTTTAACAATTGCAATTCTTTAAAATGCTTAAATTAATCTTCAAAAAAATCCCATCTTAAAGTAAAAATGTGAACGCCGGAATATAGAGTTTAATCAAAAGATAGATATATATGTAGTTAACCTGTAGCTCAGAATAGCACCATGTTGAAAGGTCTGCTGATGGTCTATAATCAGCCGTTTATGTCCACTGTAAACCTCAACACCAGAACTAAAAAGTTCGCGTTAATATCATTCTAATTTTAAATCTTAAACATGAAAATATATCTTCATATTTCTAGAAGATATTCTCTTGGTCTAAAATCTTGAAGATATATCTTTATATTCTTATGTTTCACAGTTTTATTTCTCATTACATACTCCTCTTTCTTTAGAAGATATCCTTCTATTCCTCCATCTAGAGGATATCCTTATATTCTTCTATCTAGAAGATCTCCTTCTATTCTTCTATCTAGAAGATATCCTTCTATTCTTCTATCTAGAAGATATCCTTCTATTCTTCTATCTAGAAAATATTCTTCTATTCTTCTATCTGGAAGATATCCTTCTAGTCCTTCTATTCTTCTATCTAGAAGATATCCTTCTATTCTTCTATCTAGAAGATATCCTTCTATTCTTCTATCTAGAAAATATTCTTCTATTCTTCTATCTGGAAGATATCCTTCTAGCTATTCTTCTATCTAGAAGATATCCTCTAGCTATTCTTCTATCTAGAAGATATCCTTCTAGCTATTCTTCTATCTAGAAGATATCCTTCTTTCCCCAAGTATGAAGAAAAACATGTAAGCTCCGAAGGTAAATTGTATTTGCAATGAAGCGTTTAATAGATTGATGGAATTCCAGATAAATATTCTGAATCCTCTCTCTGCATATTTAAACAACTATCAACTTCTATCATGAGTAAACATCAACTTTATGCAAACCACTTATTGGTATTGACATTTTATAAAATATCAATATATTCATGTTTCCGGTTTATATAATATCAATATATTCATGTTTCCGGTTTATAAATTATCAATATATTCATGTTTCCGGTTTATATAATATCCATATATTCATGTTTCTGGTTTATAAATTATCAATATATTCATGTTTCCGGTTTATAAATTATCCATATATTGATGTTTTCGGTTTATAAAATATCCATATATTCATGTTTCCGGTTTATAAAATATCAATATATTCATGTTTCTGGTTTATAAATCATCCATATATTCATGTTTCCGGTTTATATAATATCAATATATTCATGTTTCCGGTTTATATAATATGAATATATTCATGTTTCCGGTTTATATAATATCAATATATTCATGTTTCCGGTTTATAAAATATCAATATATTCATGTTTCCGGTTTACATAATATCCATATATTCATGTTTCCGGTTTATAAATTATCAATATATTCATGTTTCCGGTTTATATAATATCCATATATTCATGTTTCCGGTTTATATAATATCAATATATTCATGTTTTCTAACATTTGCTTTGAAAGTACTCTCCAATAGGCTTTATAAGCCCCCTCCCTCTCCTTGAAATACTAAATACATGTCGATGAATGATCAAACTTCAAAGTTTCCCCCCCCCCCTTGACTAATTGATTTATATTGGGGATTTAACTTGTCAATTAAACCTATGAAAGGAAGGTATAGAACGGATGTTAACTTCACAAGAATAAGATAATTTAAAATTTGTTAAAGGAAAAGAGTCTTCGCCACAAATTCTAATTTTTTCTTCCCTACATTTTTTCAACCTGATGGTGTAAACCTTTTATTTCAAACTTAGACTATTTGAACTGCTAGAATATATAGGTTTATAGTTTCAAAGATATAGGGAATTAAAAATAAGAGTTTGTGGCAAAGACTTAATTCCTCTGGCCCTGGGTAGTGTCGGAGTTAAGTGGACTGTATGGCGTAAATAAATCTTCATTTAAAGAGTGCATGCTATGTCCAATTTACAGCGGTGTCGGAGTAACATTGAAGAAGACAGGTTCGTTTTCTATCTTAATACATGTTGCATTTTATTACTTGTTCCTGCAGCACTATTCCGCAGATAACCTGTATGGAGAAACCGCAAGTAAAATTGATAAACTTTCAGCTAGATAAATGCGAAATGTGGAAATCTCATTCAACCTTCATCAGACAAAAGTTTAAAAGCAATTTAAAGGTGATACCGTTGTGTATTTGCAACTCTGTGAGTGTGACATGAAATTATTCGTTAACAATCCCTTTATGAAGTAGGGAGTGACACCAGCTTAATACAAGGAAAAGAAAACATTCAGTTTATTAAAAAGGTTCAGAGAGCCAGGAAAGGGAAAGAATTAAGTTTATAGACCGGGAATTCTGTTAAAATCATCTTTATTCAAAGTAAATGAATACTCAGAAAGAAAATAATTGGGTAGAGAAAATTTTTTTTTTTTAAATAGAGATAGAAAAAAATTAAATTTAAAAATTAAAAAAGATAAAGAATTGTAGAAAGAAGTTACCTGATCTGTAAAAAATATAGATTAGCAAAAAAATATTTAGAGTTCAAAGATATTAAAATAGTTTAAAGATATTAAAATAGTTTAAGAATATGGATACAGTTTAATAAAAATAGATAGAGATTGGGAGGATGGAGGATGATGGAANGGGTAGAATCAAATACGAATTAAAAATAATGGATGGGTTGTAGAATAAAAATTAACGGATCCGAAAATGAAGAACGCAATGGAAGATGAAAAGGATACATGTATGTAGAACCCCGTGTAATTCAAAAGATGAAAAAGAACTGGAAAAAAACAAAAACTTATTTCCAAAAAATGATAAAAAAAAGAGAAAAGACTAACTCTTCTTGAAGAATTTTAATATCTTCTATCTGTCTTTAGGACAGAGATTAAAATTCAACACTCAGTTTAAATTCAAACAATTTATCTTGAAAAAGTGCAATTTAACAAGTTTTGGCAGGATGTAGAGTTATAAATATATGTACCAGGCTTTCAGGGCGCTTCGTGCTCATATTCTATTTCAATTGTGAACATTTTCTCTTTGTGTTCATTGTAAAGCAATAACAAAGAAAAAGTGTTTATCTGATCTGGATACTAATGTTAAGGATGTATACGAATGTCATGATGATGAATTTGATACAGGTTGGAATGTTGAAAAGGATGGTTTAAGGAAAATCGAATTTTATGGATGCAAATTTTTGAAATTTTGATTGTCCATTTTTTTTTATCAAAAACCTCGTTTCTAGTAACTTTGAACATAAGAGGGTTAAAATAAAAGAATTATGTTTGTTCTTAAATAGATAATTAGAAAATTTGACTTTGTGGCGATTAATCAGTTCTGTGATATGCATCCTACATACAGTGAGAACCAGAAAACTCTGGAATAGGAAGACGACTTTTAGACTTAAGTTCTGCCTCTGAATATTCCAATGAGCATGCACCATAGTAATTCAGTAATTTAATAAGTTTATTATAAAAACTATTATTTTAAAACTTAAAATACACTTATTATTATTAGAAATTTAATGTCGTCCTTTTATTCCGCTGATTTTTTAGTTGTGTCTGTAATATATATTGCTTTGTTACCTGACATAGTTGATTGTACAACCATATTTATACTCTTCTCCTTCACATAGGGGTCCTTTCCATACACCAGCACTGTACAGTAAATCAATCAATCAGATAAATAGATAGATAGATAGATAGATAGATAGATAGATAGATAGATAATTGATTTGCAGAACCTTGTATCCTTGATAATGGATTGAACAAACAAACCTTAAATTTGAGAAATCTTGAGTTTCTGATTTCTATCAAATAAATACTTTTCAAGATGAAAAATAAAAAACAAAACATTTTCTTCTTTAAACGTAAAACGTAGTTGTAGACACCATCTAATTAGTAGGGCCTCTATAGTTTATAATGGATAATTAGAAACTATCTAATTATGCTGGATCCAATAATGGTCTGAGTTGAGTGTTATTGGGTGGATATACAGTAGATATTTAAAGGGACTGTTAGTGTGTTATTGGGGACTGTTAGAGTGTTATTGGGTGGATATACAGTGTATATTTATAGGGACTGTTAGTGTGTTATTGGGTGGATATACAGTTATAGATATTTAAAGGGACTGTTAGTGTGTTATTGGGTGGAAATACAGTAGATATTTAAAGGGACTGTTAGTGTGTTATTGGGTGGATATACTGTGGATATTTAAAGGGACTGATAGTGTGTTATTGGGTGGATAGACAGTGGATATTTAAAGGGACTGTTAGATTGTTATTGGGTGGATAGACAGAGGATATTTATAGAGACTGTTAGTGTGTTATTGGGTGGATATACAATGGAAATTTAAAGGGACTGTTAACGTAATTTCAAGTGATCTTCCTTAAGATAAATATCCGATTCACAATGGTACAATTTAAAACTTTAAACGGTTCAAAGCGGTTTTCAAAAATCCGAATGTAAATATTTATATTTTGCTTCTTCTAGATATTAAATATTGATATTCCTGAATTAGAAACCAGCTTGCAAACAAAGTTTTCAACAATTATAAGTGTTTTCGTAGATAAATAAGGAAAAGTATGTCTTCCTTGATCTGTCAAAGGGTATATATAGTTACCGTTTCTAAATAGAAAGTCACAAGAAATAACGCTGAAAGTCTCTTTAACAATTAAATACACTGTCAGTTTAACAAATAAATACACTGTCAGTTTAACAATCTGGTTAAAAAGTTTTTTTTTAAAAGACCAATCCTAACCCTACTCTGCACGTGAACGAAAATTAAACTTTTTAAAAATCAGGTATTTTAAATTGTCTCTTATATTAACATTTCCGACTAAAGATTGGGTTTTCCTCAATGTTGATCAAAATGGTAGATTTTCACTATATCTATATATTCTATATCTATATATTTTATATCTTTATATTCTATGTCTATATATTCTATATCTTTATATTCTATGTCTATATATTCTATATCTGAAAGATTATCTATAGCTATGAATATTCGAAGGAGTAATTGTGGAATTCCTAAATGCTGAACATAATTTTTCTTGTTTATTCATCTTTAAACATTTATGTGACATATTTCAGCTGATGGGATCTAAAAACCAAAAGTAATATTTCTTGGTATGTTTTCTTCATTATAAGGCAAACTTGTGTTTCTGACAAAGATTCATTTTTAAACTTAATTCAATTTTTCAATTGCATTTTTTTAAATCTTTGGTTGATCAACAGTTTCTGCCTACAGGAATGCTTATCACTATGCACAAATGCATTGAATAGCGAGAAATGGTTTAGTGACGTAAATTGAGTTGAACCACTTTTCTTCCACTTGAACCGCGACGCATAAGAGAAATGGTTGATCTACGTCCACGCAGTTCAACTGTTTTATTTTTAGATTATTTGTTGATAAAATCCATAAAAGTTTTGAAATAGCCGCATAGAATAAATATTCTGTAGATATTGAAGATAATTTATTCTTTTTTCTTCTTCTTTTCTTTTCCTTCTTCTGTTTCAATTATAGGAAAACTATATCCGCCATTATTAGTTCCGGTGAAGAGAGGGTCCGGATTATTATTTTGATATTATTATATGATTTTTGTAAGCAACTTTTCTATAATGTGATATGAACACACAATTAAAGAGAATGCTTGCAATAAAAGACTACTAAAAATATCAATTGACCGGTACTATTCTCAATAAATTTTAACGAAAAAAAAACATACTTTCTCTCCTCCACGGACAATTATTTGAATTGATTAAATTTAGGTTTGATTATTTAAAAACTTTTAAGTTTTTTGCTAATTTAGAATTTGCTCCGTTCACAACGAAAACGAAATCGCTAAAGGGAGAGACCGGCTATATAACATATCTTAACTGAGAATGCAGTATTGTAGAGAACAACTTTTGGATTCATTTGATACTAATGAGACATTTTTACTGTGTGTCAATTCTTAAATATTTCACCAGTATGTCACCAGAAGAAGAAATGTTTTTTTTTTACAATTCAATTAAATAACATGAAAAAAACATGTAAAACTAGTTGCATGTATACAAACAGGTTGAGAAAACATGTAAAACTAGTTGCATGTATACAAACAGGTTGAGAAAACATGTAAAACTAGTTGCATGTATACAAACAGATTGAGAAAAGCAATGAACTTCTTTCATTGGAAATAAGTTTTTAGAATTAATTTTAAAATCTCTCAGGTTTATGAAAATTCTTTCAGCTAGGGTCGCTTATATGGGAGGTTTTCTTTATTTTAATCGTGATTATTAAGAAATTTGCGAAAAAAAATTATAAAAATACCAAAGTTAATGAAATAATGAAATTATCGATTTTACGGTTCTACAATGGCTTTCTTCGATAATTTATAAAACATGTTCCTAAACAGCAAATTAGTTTATAAATTTATTTTTTTACGTGTTTTGTCTGTGTTATTAAATAAATTTATTTTTTTACGTGTTTTGTCTGTGTTATTAAATAAATTTATTTTTTAAAGTGATCTGTCTGTGTTATTAAATCATTGTATAAAATGTTTCTTCTGCTGGTTGAAACAACTGGTGAAATATTACAATCAATGTTTCTCGTTATGTAGCTAACATAATTTCTTTTTAATTCAAAAAAGAAAAATAGCTCCCGTGCATGTTTATTGAAAACATGCACAAAGTTATGTGTAGCATTTTCTAATATGCGATAACACTGACTGTGTTTGTAGTATCTCTCAGTAATATTGAATACAAGTAATGCTATCTTATTATATATAATGTGGTTTTTTCTCTTGAACTGCTGCCCCATCAATACTTGAATATAAATGTAGCATCAATTTTGGCGGGAAAAAAACGAAAAAATGTATCCGTATACTAATAGATTCCTTCTCAATTAATTTAAAAATGTATGTACACGTTACTGTTGTAAAATAGTTTTATTTAAATCCATGTAAACAATTTTGTAAAATTAATATAATCTCGATATGGAGATAATAAATATCTAGATCTTAAAAAAAGAAACATTACAAACGACTTTACACCGTAAAAAATGTCTCATTTGAATTGTACACCGTAAAAATGTCTCATTTTCATTATATGAATCCTAATTTTTTTTCTCTAAAATACTGTACTTTCAGCTCAAATATGTTACATAGTCGGTCTCTCCCTTTAATTTCTGTTAAGTTAAACAATACAGGAATTTAATAAAAAATCAAAGTTGGAATAAAATTCATTGTCACAAACCTAATATGTATTTTTTTATAACGAATATTACATTCCAAGTCTCCAGAAGTACACTGCAGCATATAAACTAGAATATATCTCACTGATGTAAAAAAAAGTTTAATTTATTGGTTTTTTGTTTTTAAATAAGAATTAAAGAATGAATAAAAAGTTTTCCCTCCTTCCATTTCTTTCCCGAAATTCCAACATATAAGTTCAGAGAATCTATTCTATCTAGTTTTTATTCTCATTATTTTCTTGAATTAGATTTCTATTGGAATCAAGAACGTAATTGGATCATGAGTCTTTTAAGCAAATAAAATTCTTTGACTCTATATATATATGTGTAGATATGGGTATTGAAGAACGACATTTAAATCTTCTTTGACACATACCGACACGGTGTGAATAAATGACTAATAGAGAAAATGAAGAACTTTTTCTTTAGATTTTGTGGCACTGAGATATAAACAGCTCTTCAACTTAGTATTTGGTTTTAGTGTCGGTAAGGTAACAGTTGTAAAATATAATTAGTGAAGCTGTATGTTTGTGCATCTAGCACCAGTCCTGGAATCTTTTAATTAAACTTATTTTTCTGCAAATTCTTAACATTGGTTAAATCATTACGCTCTCGAAACTTTAAGAAATGAAATAAAAATAAAATTGTTAGAGCTGATTGATGATAATTTTCCTGCATTCCAGGCGACAGAGTCGAGTTGTCCCCCCTGAATCAACCTGAAACAAAATGCCTTGCCTTGTCTTCCTTAGCATAAGTCAATTTCAGACTTTGTCAAAGCCTTTGACAGATGAAGGATTTATTTATTATTCTATAATACAAGTTTATTGGAAAACTAGCTAGAGAACCCAGCGCGTTGACAAGGGTACTCATAGCTACTCCCACCGATTACCCGCGCTTGGTCGTAAATTACGAGTTTGACATTTTCCCTTTAAAAGACCCGCTGAACTTAGAATCTCAAAACCAATCTATACTGTTGTTCTCCCGAGTTCCTCAATCAAAATTTGAGACAATTCGGTCAAGGAATTCATGAGTTATGATCGGACATACAAAAAACAAACAAACAGACTAAGAGAGATTACAACTTTATATACAGGGTTACCCACAAAGGATAAGACTTCAACGACGACTGTACGGAATTTATACCGTCGCTTTCCTAATATTCATGATTCCATGCAACTATAAACTTCTTTCTTCCTTTAAAGGTAACCCTGTATATAGATATTCCTGTAGAAGAAAATGAAATAATTACAGCAAATTTACAAAAATAAAAGCTGACTATAATTCACAAAAGGTTGATGGCTGTCGGCTAAACAGTAAACTTCGTATTTATTTAGAAATATACGTCTTTAACAATTTTCTCCTTATAGACGCAACAGATAGATGTAAGATTAGTGTCGATCAAAAGCGCTTTTTTATCGCATTAAGCCTATACCCCCTTTCATTTTTCGCGAACACTCCCTTTAACATTGAAATTAATTCAAGATTATGGCGTAGAGCTGAACAAACATTCTTAAATCATGCCCCCTACCCACAGGAAAACTTCTGAAGCCGCCCCATGACAGAAATTTTGATGTTTGATGTGATAGCACATATATATATACCTTAAATACAACTGAAGTGATATGTGAGAAAAGTTCTTGATTTTGTAAACTACTTCCATTAATAGCTACTCCAGGCAGTTTACAATGCTTTACTTCTAGCACAGATTAAACAAACATTGAAAAAATTAGTCTCAACACTTTTTTTGAAAGAAATATTTCGTAAATTGATTAAGTGTTTGCCACAAACTCAAATTTTCAAATTGCTATATAGTTGCAACCTGATGGTGTAAACCTTTGATATTTCAAATATATTTCAAATATTTTTATAGAATTCATAGTTTGAAATATATAAGGTGTACAAAATTGGATTGCAAAGATATACGGATTAAAGAAAAACAGAGTTTGATGAAAATACTTAGGGTTTTTGCATTTTTTTGCAGTTATTGTAAATATTCTAGAAAAGGAACACTGAAGTTCAGAAATAAAAAGTTTACTTTGAGCCGCAATCAGAAAATTTACTTTTTTCTTCTTTTTATCGTGAAATCTGTTTGAGTTGTTATTAAATATTAATAAAAGAATTGAGTCTTTGCCACAAACTTTGATTTTCTAATCCCTATATCTTTATCTTAGTCCAATACCGTAGACCTTAGATATTTCAAACTATGAATTCTGTTAGATCAAATAATCAATACTTTAAATTAAGGTTTACACCATTAGGTTGCTTAGATATTGGATTAGAAAATTTGAGTTAGTGGCAAAGAAACAATTCCTTTACATTATATATATACTGTGGCAGAATTTAAAGAATTTGAGCGGTGGTTTAAATTTAAGCCGCGGTTTAAATATGATTGGTTCCATTTAAAATTATATCATATGTTTCAAGATTTAAGCCGGCGCTTAATTTAAACCGGGTTTTGGCGGATTTAAATCGCGGCTCAAATTCTTTAAATTCCATGATATGATTATTTTGCATTAATGCATTAATGCATTATCTGCCTTGTGTAGTTGTAGGAGGTGAGGAGGCTGGGGAGAATGTAGATGTCAAATATTCTTCAAATTCATCAATATCTGCTATATCAACCATCTGATCTTCATCTTCTTCTAAACAATATCTACTATATCAACCATCTGATCTTCATCTTCTTCTAAACAATATCTACTATATCAACCATCTCATCATCTTCTTCTAAACAATATCTACTATATCAACCATCTGATCTTCATCTTCTTCTAAAGAACATCTACCATATCAACCATCTGATCTTCATCTTCTTCTAAATAATATCTACCATATTCACAATTTGCTCTTCTACAGCTTCTAAACAATATCTACTATATCAACCATCTGATCTTCTTCTTCTTCTAAACAATATCTACCATATCAACCATCTGATCTTCATCTTCTTCTAAACAATATCTACCATATTCACAATTTGCTCTTCTACAGCTTCTAAACAATATATACCATATTCACAATTTGCTCTTCTACATCTTCTAAACTATATCTACTATATTCACAATTTGCTCTTCATCTTCTTCTAAACAATATATACTATATTCACAATTTGCTCTTCATCTTCTTCTAAACAATATATACTATATCAACCATCTGATCTTCTTCTTCTTCTAAACAATATATACTATATTCACAATTTGCTCTTCTACAGCTTCTAAACAATATCTACCATATTCACAATTTGCTCTTCTACAGCTTCTAAACAATATCTACCATATTCACAATTTGCTCTTCTACAGCTTCTAAACTATATCTACCATATTCACAATTTGCTCTTCTACATCTTCTAAACAATATCTACCATATTCACAATTTGCTCTTCTACATCTTCTAAACTATATCTACCATATTCACAATTTGCTCTTCTACATCTTCTAAACAATATCTACCATATTCACAATTTGCTCTTCTACAGCTTCTAAACTATATCTACTATATTCACAATTTGCTCTTCTACATCTTCTAAACTATATCTACAATATTCACAATTTGCTCTTCATCTGCTTCTAAACAATATCTACCATATTCACAATTTGCTCTTCTACATCTTCTAAACAATATCTACCATATTTACAATTTGCTCTTCTACAGCTTCTAAACTATATCTACAATATTCACAATTTGCTCTTCTACAGCTTCTAAACAATATCTACCATATATGCACAATTTGCTCTTCTACAGCTTCTAAACTATATCTACAATATTCACAATTTGCTCTTCTACAGCTTCTAAACAATATATACTATATATGCCATTTGCTCTTCATCTTCTTCTAAACAATATCTACCATATTCACAATTTGCTCTTCTACATCTTCTAAACAATATATACTATATATGCCATTTGCTCTTCTACATCTTCTAAACAATATCTACTATATCAACCATCTGATCTTCTTCTTCTTCTAAACAATATCTACCATATCAACCATCTGCTATTCTACATCTTCTAAACAAAGAAGGGATCAGAGCATGCAACTTAAGGCAGTATCATCACAATGAACCTAGTTTCAGAAACATGGTTTCATTCCTGGATGATGGAACTTTGTTATGAAAACCACGGTTTATATCTGAAAATTCTAATTGTGTTTTCTCAATTAAATGTAAAACTAAAAAAAATATTTTATCTATACTTATAACACCTTTTTAACCATCCATAATAACATATGTGAATCCCAAACAGAAAACTCGGTTATCTATCAATACTGTCTTAAATATCCGGCTCTGTATCCTGGGACTCAGGGGATGCATATATCATATTTTTAGAAACTAAATATTATAAAAAAATAACATGTATACTGTAAACACTGCAAAGATATTTACCACACAAACCAAAGATATTTGTTCCTGAGATCTATTATCTATACTATAAATCAAGGTACTAATGCAAGGAAAGTTAATTGCGGCCGCAATTCCACCCAGTTCTCTCTGGGTGGAATTTGTAAACAAGAAAAGATGCATCAGTGTTCTTCTAGTATCCGAAGAGGATAAAAGCATTAAATTTTGATAATTTTTTTAAATTTACATAATGGTTTCCTGACCAGAATATTTGATAGATTTTTTTTTGTGAAAATAGATTGCATGTCAGGCAGTGAAATCCGTCTTGTGTTTACTTTTCCGCCCAAAGAAAGTACACTGCAGTACAAAAATGCGCACACTTCTGAAATAATTTTCCTTGCATTAGTACCTTGCTATAAATGCACAAGGTATTCAACTAGATAAATTCCATGTGTACAATATTTAATTAGGGTCCGGAGCACGTTCAAATCAATCCGTTATCGAATAGAAAAATATCCGGAACGGACAAGCTCATCAAATAGCCGTTTGGTCTTAAATAACAACTGCAATTGCAGTTGAATTGACGGTTTTATAACCGTTCGGAACGGATCTTCATTTTTACAACGTGAATTGAAAAATAAAAAATATTCGTCATCTTCCCTATTGAGTTAACAGTTGGAATTTTTGTTAATGTGACTTCACTGAAAACTGGACAACTATACAACTGTGTGACCTCATAGATTCTTTAGTTTGCACTCTTGTATGCCGAGTCCATTAGCACTTTATTCAATTGGGGTTAAGTCATGTGTTTGTTGTCTATTCTGAACCAATAGAAACAGTATGGCGGTAACGTCTATCTTTTCTTTCTATCTCATCATCCAATTAGAGTTATGAATCCTTCAATCGGCGCTATCAGTAAATGGAAATATTTATTTTTACTGAAACCATGGGTTTTACGCACAAGTTATAGAGGGAAGCAAATTTATTTCATTACATGATTGCATCATATAAAGGAGTTGAGTTTTTGCCACAAACTCTGATTTTCTAATCTCTATATCTTTGTAACGCAATGCCGTAGGCCTAAGATATTTCAAACTATTAATACTTATAGATAAAATAATCTAAGTTTGAAATATCAAAGGTTTGCACCATATGATTGCAAAGATATTGGAATCAGAAGATTTTAGTTTGTGGCAAAAACTCAATTCCTTTAAGACATTTTTGACGATTAAAAGCTCTTCAAAAAGATGAGTTATGATAAAAAACATTTTAGATTTCAAAGTATGAAGTGATATCTAAATAATGAATGGTTCTGGGGTGTAATGTTCAGAAAATATAGAAACACTCAAAAATTATTTGTTTTAATGCAATTATGTAACAAACTCTGATTTTCTAATCCCTTTATCTTTGCGATCTGCACTGTCGCAGACTTTTGATATTTCAAACTATAAATTGTGACAGATTAAATAATCTAAGTTTGAAATATTAAAGGTTTAGGTTTGTGGCAAAACCTTAGTTCCTTTTTGTTTTTTTTTAAGAAACATCCGGCCGTTGGTTCCTTTTATTTTTTTCTTTCTTTTTTTAGGAACGTTTTATTTTAATCATTAATAATTTGAACATCAAATTTCAAACGAAATTTCCGTTAAATTTCAAAAGCTTCCGTTCGTTATTTCGTATTGGAACATTGTTTAGCCCCATATAAACTGCTTAGAGTTTGTTTATTCATAAAGATGTAAAACATTGTTTTATCTCAAAGGGTCTAATTTTTAGGATTTTATAAAATCTTTTATCAATTGTAAATCCTCATTGTCAACTTATCTTTTTTGTTTTAGTATAAAATCCTTTACTTTGTATCAAACCAGGAATTCAAATAATTTCTTTCTTTTTCTTTCCTAAATTCTTGTAAAAATTAAAAGTTAAAACTTTAACCAAGTAACACGAAAAACTTGAGCAAACCAAACTTTTTTAATTAGATTTGATATTATGTATTTGCCACTAACTTCATTTAGTCTTCGTAATTAGGGCTTCAGGTTGAAAACAATAAAATTATTATTACATTAAACTAAAGTAAATCGACTGAAATCTTATACATTTTCAATCATATACTCCTTTTTTTCAAGAAGCTATTGAAAAGATCAGCATGTTGTCATATACGTAAAACAAAGGCAGGCTTCTATGATCGAAAACACGTTATTAAATTTTAGCAAAATCTGAATAGAAATTGTTTAAAATATTCTCATATTGAAGAGGAAACAGGTTTACACTTGATGGAAATCTGAATAAAAAATTCCTTTGGTTCCCTTTAATACCTTTGGTTCCCTTTAATATCTTTGGTTCCCTTTAATACCTTTGGTGTACTTTAATACCTTTGGTTCCCTTTAATACCTTTTGTTCCCTTTAATACCTTTGGTTCCGTTTAATACCTTTGGTTTCCTTTAATACCTTTTGTTCCCTGTAATACCTTTGGTTCACTTCAATACCCTTGGTTCCCTTTAATACCTTTGGTTCCCTTTAATACCTTTGGTTCCCTTTAATACCTTTGGTTCCCTTTAAAACATTTCGTTCCCTTCAATACCTTTGGTTTTCTCTTTAATACCTTTGAATGTTTTTTTTTTATTTTTAAACGATACCAAAACGAAATGTGAAAATTCCAGCATTTTACAACTGTATTCTAAGAAAAAATATAGAGAAAAAACTACCAAAAAAAATCCTTTTTGATGTGTTTTTTCATACATCTTCTCTCAGGGTTAAAATTTCGCATATATAATGTAACGAAAGCATAGAGTTATGTTTAAGAATATACATTCTTTTAATTTACAAAACTCATCAAATTTTGAAGATCTTTTTGAAGTTTTCAAAACTTGAACGTTTTATTGTCCATCATTACAAACAATCTACAAAAAGTCAAAAAGTTTGATACCCTTCAAGGAATCTATCAAAACATAGCTATAAACATTAGACAACCTTTTATAATGCTTAATTCGCACTTCCCCCATACCTTTTATTAAAATAAAAGTTGTGTTTCTAGGGCGCTTCGCACCAATCTTTGATTTTATTATTAAAAGTTGCGCTCTCACTCCTGTATGCCGTGTCCATTATGTCATGTGTGTGTTGTCTATTCTGAACCAATAGAAATAGTATGGCGGTTACATCTATCTTTCTATCTATTTCATTATCCAATTAGAGTTATGAATCCTTCAATCGGCGCTGACACTAAATGGAAATATTTACTCAAACTGAAAATATAGTGCTCTTATCGATTTTTTTTCGTGGATTTTTCAAATTCAAATTTTAAAGACAAATTCTTTCAATTCTAACCATCCTTAAACCTTCTCTGGGGTCATGTGAGGACACAAACAAAAATTGGGCCCGAACGATTCAGCCGTTTTGACGTTTATCGGTTACAAATAAACAAAGAAGCAAAAAGACCGACCTGCAGCAAAGTATATATAATACTGTAACCAGAAATCCTACTGTGTATATAGAGCAAATTATCCAGGGTTGTGTAAAAGCCTGAATTAGTTAATTAGTTCCACCCAAACTAACACTAATCAGTATTAATGTAAACATATAAAATACAGAATCAGTACAAAAGTATCTTTTATATAGAGGATTAATTAAAAAGTAATTTTATTAAATTTTCTTTGTTTCCAACGAGAAAAAAATATGAAAAGTAACGAAATAAAAACGTTAGTTAACAGATGAGAACAAATTAGTATATGCACCCTAAACTAGGCTTTTGCTGCGTAGTGCAATAAATCTGCACTGCTCTCAGTTCTGACCGAAGAAAAAGTACGTTTTAGCAGAGAGTGATTACCGATAATAGACACCGACATCTATTTTCATTTTAGCAATACCTAAAATGAGAAGTATTGAATGTCGTCTATCGATGTCGTGAAACTGTGTATCACGGACATATTTTGATATCATTTAAAAACAGTGCCTTTAACTTTGTCATTTTAAATTGGATGATATAAGTAAGTATTTAAAATATAACATTTAAAAACAGTGCCTTTAACTTTGTCATTTTAAATTGGATGATATAAGTAAATATTTAAAATATATCATTTAAAAACAGTGCCTTTACCTTTGTCATTTCAAATTGGATGATATAAGTAAATATTTAAAATATATCATTTAAAAACAGTGCCTTTAACTTTGTCATTTTAAATTGGATGATATAAGTAAATATTTAAAATATATCATTTAAAATAATAATAAAATGCAGGTACGGTAATTTAAGATAAAAATGGAGAGAAAATCTTTTAAAAGTTTTTCATTATTTTACACGCACTAATTGCCTATACATATAATACAGTGAAACCCTTAATAACGAATACATTGAAAGAATTCATCAAATGTCGTATTCTTCACTTTCTGATAATGGAATGTTGCAGATATTTAGTTTTTTAATTAAATGATTATATATGGAACTCTTTAAAACTGTTCCCGCATATTCATGGCTATTTATCTATTTCGCAAATACTGAAATTTACGTAATATAGTACAAAAATCATTGAAAAATTGTCAAAACTACATTTTATGATTCTTCCAATGTATTCGTTATTAAGGGTTTCACTATAGTAAAATGATACAAATAAAGCGAAACATTTTACATCGGAAATTTGCATGCTGATTGCAAGGTTTAATTGAAGTTAAACTTTTTAATGTTTGTTCACAAAATAGAGACATTTCGAACATTTGCACTGCAAGCATAGAGTACAATGTACTTTCTGGTATTTAGTAAGCTTGATACAAGTTTCATATTTGCATTCATGTAGCTGATATCCTTGTAGAATATCTATAATTAGTTAAACAAACTAAGTTTCAATCTTGACAATATATAAACAAGATATATGCATTCTTGCTTAAAGGCAAGGTACTGCAAGGAAAGTTAATTGCAGTTGTGTATACTCTGCGTACATATTGAAACCAGTTCTCTCTAGGCGGAATTTGTAAACAAGAATAGGTTCATCAGTGTTCGTTGAGTATCCGAGGAGGTTAAAATTTAGATAATTTTGAAAATTCACATAATAGTTTCCTATGGCCAGAATATTTTATAGATTATTTTTGTGAAAATGGATTCCATGTCAGACTGTGACATCCGTCTTGTGTTTACTTTTCCGCCCAAAGACAGTACACTGCAGTACAAAAATTGTGTACACCTCTTAAATAACTTTCCTTGCATTAGAACCTTGCTTAAAGGGGTGTAATTATGTTCCCCATTTGTATAGAATGGGTGCGTATCCAAATTTGACTGATCAAGGATTAATGTAATTGTTGAGCATTTGGTTTGCAAGCTGTTTTTTTTAAATGTTGATATTCGACTTTCAATAATTAACGATTTGTTAAAAATCCGCGTGTGAAATCGAAAATTCGTGATTTTCCAGAAAATATCCGCAGTTTGAACATCGTGTTACAGATAAACACACGGAGTTGTCTACCCCTGATGATTAGTTGAAAAAGAGAAAGGGGTTTGGGAAATTGGTTACTAATTTCCCGCCAAATAATTTAAATTTTAAAACTTTTGAAATCCGCGAAATTTGTTTTTGTTACTTTTGAATAATGTTAGCAGCGAAAGCGAAACGGAAAACGAAAAAAGAAAAATGGTTAAATTGGTGTCTTATAGTTTTTGCCTTAGAATTCCTTTTGCAGAGTAATTTTGATTTTACAAGTAAACTGTTCTTCTGAAAGTTGTTCAGACATTAGCCGTGGATTCATATTTATCCATATCAACATTAAACAGATTGAACGCCACAAATTCTAATTTTCTAATTCCTATGACTACACAAACTGATGGGTTAAATCCTATTATCCTGATGGGTTAAATATGGCTCAATGTTTTTCTAGCATAATTCATAGTTTGAAATATCAAATGTCTTTAAACCAGAGTTTTCGTAAATACATAGTATTAAATGTTTTAGAAGTGAACTCACCACACCTGTGCTAGTTAGCTGACTAAAGGAACTAGAGCTGATGAGAATAACTAGAAGTGAACTCACTATACCTGTGCTAGTTAGCTGACTAAAGGAACTAGTGCTGATGAGAATAACTAGAAGTGAACTCACTATACCTGTGCTAGTTAGCTGACTAAAGGAACTAGTGCTGATGAGAATAACTAGACGTGAACGCACTATACCTGTGCTAGTTAACTAACTAAAGGAACTAGTGCTGATGAGAATAACTAGACGTGAACTCACTATACCTGTGCTAGTTAGCTAACTAAAGGAACTGTGTTGATTTGAATAACTAGAAGTGAACTCACTATACCTGGGCTAGTTAGCTGACTAAAGGAACTAGAGCTGATGAGAATAACTGGAAGTGAACTCACTATACCTGTGCTAGTTAGCTGACTAAAGGTACTAGTGCTGATGAGAATAACTAGAAGTGAACTCACTATACCTGCGCTAGTTAGCTGACTAAAGGAACTAGTGCTGATGAGAATAACTAGAAGTGAACTCACTATACCTGTGCTAGTTAGCTGACTAAAGGAACTAGTGCTGATGAGAATAACTAGAAATGAAACTACTCTTTTCTCCATTTTATCTTGTCAAAGAACAAAAAACTTATACAGAAGTATTAGAACCAAAATATTCTAAATTCTAAATGTCCACGTTCATGTTCAAAGTTCATGTTCATGTTCATGTTCAAAGTTTGTACAACAAAGTGATCTCTTCCTTGCATCAATGAGAGAACAATGTTCAAAGTGAGTTTACTAAATCTAAATACTTTTAACATTCTTACATTCCTCTAGATTTTCAAGTGCACAGTAATAAAGGGAAAAAGTACATCTGGGGAATGTCAAAACAGTCAAAACTTTCTAAAGTTAAATTTTTAAAAACTTTTATAAGTTTTGTTTTTATATAAAAAAAGAATGTCAAAATACAATGAACAACTTTTAAATCACATTAATGTTCATCTTCATGATCATGTTCATGTTCAATTTGAGATTGTGAAAAATGTATTATGTTTATATTTTTTTGTTTCGTTTTACTCCATCTGCTTTGCGTCAAACCTTTTTTCTTTTCAATCTTTTTGTAAATATTTGTATGTTGTTTTGAAAGGATGAAGGTTCTCTTCTGTCATGCAAACTCGGGAAGTAAACTCCGCACGGTATCAGGAACCAGGTTTTAAAGGTATCCTCTCTTCTCAACCTCTAGACTCGTACTAAACATTCTTCCTTCAACCTTGTCGATAGATAGATACATACAGACATGCACAAATACATCAAGACGATCTTAGTTTAACTTTCTTGAAGAATATGTTAAAGTATTTTAAAGTGGTTGTTTAGTTATTTGGAAAGTGTGAAAGGTATCAAATATTTATGAGACCATTTTGATTTTTCATATCTTAGGTTGCACAGATAACATTAAAGTAAAACAAAATAGCATAGCAATAACTTTTTTCCCTTTTTACATGTATTCTTCAAATAAATAATCCCGAAAACATTTAATGAAGAATATCAAATAAATATTAATTTCGGAGAAGAATATCAAGCTGAGTTATTTATTCAATGTGTCTTTAAAGTGTCGGAACGCCCTTATATTTGATTCTCCTGCACATCTTTAACCCCCGAAAATTTGAAATATTTATTTTTGGACCAAAAATACAAACAAAAATACAAAAACAAAAATACAAAACAAAAATACAAAAACAAAAATACAAACAAAATCAAAAACAAAAATACAAAATCAAAATTACAAAAACAAAAATACAAACAAAAATACAAAAACAAAAATACAAACAAAAATACAAACAAAAATACAAACAAAAAAACAAACAAAAATACAAAAACGAAAATAAAAATCAAAAATTACAAAACAAAAATACAAAAACAAAAATGCAAAATCAAAATTACCAAAACCAAAATACAAACAAAATACAAAAACAAAAATACAAACAAATATACAAAAACAAAAATATAAACAAAAACAAAATTTGACTTAAAACACTAAAACTGTGTTGCTGTCGTAAATCAATTAATTTTACTCGAAGCATGACGTGAAATGGGTTCATGCAAGAGGCACTTTTCTTTTTCTTATGTTATTTGGAGCATCCAAAATCGTATCATTAGTCTTAAAGTGATCTTTGTATTCCATAGTTTTAAGCAGACCACAGTTAGATAATTGGAATCTCTTTCAAGTCTTTAACCCTATTCCTGCTGGGGGGTAAGTACCCCAGCAGAGATAGGGTTAATAAAGAAACAATCCTTTTCATGAAGAGCAAACAGTCCTATGGAACAATAATTAAATAAATTTTTTAATTGTATTCATCTGTGTTTTCAAACTAATTTTTTAAATTCAAACTGGAATAAAGTTAATTTGATACAAATATAAAAGATTTTATTTCCATGAATCATCATTTTTTGTCAACTCTGCAGAATACTTTTGTGTACAGGATTCAAAATTATAACTTTTTTAACAATGAATTATAAATTCTTTATCATGATCAGTTTTTAGAAAATAAATTAGAGGTTAATCTGAGCTTTTTTACTCCTGCAATACAGTTTAGAATTTTCACAGTTGTTTATTTCTTCTTGAACAAGATTCATAAATCTTTTATGATTCAATATTTCCATAAAGCCTGGCCACTGTGCTCCGGAGAGAAAGGTCTGCTTGATCTAAAAAATCATCCATTTTTATAATTTCTAAAATAATATGAAATATTTATCAAGAGGTATTTGTGGGATCATTACCCAAATAATTGGGGAATACGATTTCAAGTTTGATACCTAATCAAGATCAAGATATTAATAGTTTGCAAAAAATATTTAAAATCTTGACTGTTCCTATGCCGGAACTTGTAATCAAATATCCGGTAATTATGTCAAATATTCAATCTTAATTTTGAAACTTTTTAATATTAGGATGGAATCTTTAGCATGGGACAGGAATATTAAGATAGGAGTTTTAGGATGGGACATGAATATTAAGATAGGAGTTTTAGGATGGGACATGAATATTAAGATAGGAGTTTTAGGATGGGACATGAATATTATGATCGGAGTTTCAGGATGAAATGGTTCATATTAGGATGGAAGTTTAAGAATGAGATGGGAATATTAGGATGGGAGTTTTAGGATGGAAAGGAATATTAGGATGGGATTTTTGGGATGGGACGGGATAATTAGGATGGGAGTGTTAGGATGGGATTTTTAGAATTGGACAGGAATATTAGGATGGGACATGGGAATATTAGGATGGTATACGGGAATATTAAGATGGGAGTTTTAGGATGAGATTGGAATATTAGGATGGGAGTTTTAGGATGGGACGGGAATATTAAGATAGGAGTTTTTTAAGATGGGAAAGAAATATTATGATCGGAGTATTAGAATGACTGGATCATATTAGGAAGGGAGTTTTAGGATGGGCCAAGAATATTAGGATGGGAGTTTTAAGATAGATGGGAATATTAGGATGGTCAGGAATATTAGAATGTGAGTTTTAGGATAGGACAGGAATATTAAGATTGGAGTTTTAGAATGGGACATGTATAAAATAATGGGAAGTTTAGGATATGACAGGAATATTAAGATTGGAGTTTTAGAATGGGACAGGTATATACTAATGGGAAGTTTAGGATAGGACAGGAATATTAGGATGGGAGTTTTAAAAAGTTTTAAATGAATGAACAAGAAAATTTTAATAGGACATAAATATTAGGATGGGACAGCAATAGGTTTAAATGAAACTTCAAACAATTTAAGTTTTAAGTATAAATATGGTTAGATTTAGATATATTTGAATTTTCAAGTTTTAAAGCAATAAGATCTCAAGAATAAGATCTCAAGAATAAGATCTCAAGAATATTTTATTTTATTCTTAAAAATAGATATTGACTTTCCTACTCGTCTTGGGAGATCCCGGAGTATGACTTCTGCTCTTGCTAGGCTCAGCTTGACGGAGTTTTTCATAAACATATTCCGATAGTTTTCGTTTTGGTTGTTTCGAGCAAGGAGAGGTCGGAATATCAGACTCGAGTAGTTTATCCTCTCTGCTCTTTAACGATAATATATCAATAATTTTGGTTGAAGCTTTAGCTTTCCTTCCTGGTTTGCTCCCATCCGCATTAGCAGATTTGTTTTGGGAGGTTTGGTTTCTAAACTTAGGAGATAGTTCTCTTGTATTGGTAGAAGCGTCCTGTCTAAACTTATTTCTCCAAGACGATGTGGTGGAAATGGTTTCTGGGACGGTTTCAGTTTCATCATTTCTTTTTCTTTTGTTTGAATCAAGTGTGTCAGGACTGTCTGCTTCTGGTTTGTTAGACTCATCACAGGTGTTGTCTTTGGCAATCCATAGTTGGGGTTTAAGGTATGGAGATGTAAAAGTGTTCATTTGTTCAATAAAAGATGGACTCTTCTCATGAACTTGTGGGGATAGGATTGAAAAGGGTGAGTCCACAGACTTCTCTTCATATTGAGAGGGTCCCATGTATTGATCACCAAGAAAAAGGGCCTTTTTTACACAGTTTTCCCGCACTGCACTGAATTTAACAGGTTTCACATCAACATCTGCAGAATATCGTTTTCGGGAGAATTTTGGAGAGCTTGGCTCATCGACATACTTCATCTTTACAGTAGTTTTAACCAACTCCAGGTGCCTAACCTTGTAGGGTTCAGATTTAGGAGGGTTTGGGAATGATCTACTTTTGTAAGGAGGGGGTGAGGGGGATTTGGGCTTTGGAGGAGGGAGAGTTAGTGTAATAGGAAGAGGAGGGGTTGCCTCTTTTGGAGGAGTTGGAGGGAGTTCAGGAAGAGGAGTTGGTTCTTTTACTGTTGGGGGTGGAGGGGATGGTTGAGGTGGTGGAGTTGGATCTTTGGGTGGAGGTGGTGGACTTTCTATAGGGGGAGGAGGCGGAGCTTCAAGAGGGGGAGGTGGAGTAGGTTTGTCAGGGCTTTTAGGCTTTGTTTTAACAGATCTTTTGCGGGAGAGTTTTTGATCTTCTTCAACGCTAATTTTGATTGCCACGAAGTTAATGATTCTTGTGACTGTTTCTTTTTTCTCGGTAGAAGCTAGTGTTTCTTTTAATAGTGAGGAAGATCTTCCCTTTTCTACAGAAGCTCCTCTTGTGTCCTTTGAGGTGCCATTACTGACCTTCGATCCAATATTTTTCTTGGGAGAAGGCTTTCTTTTCAGAGGCTCCTCGACTTTTAAGGTGTCTGGTTTTTTAACAGAAGCCAGCCTAAGTGTAAATTTAGAATGCTGTTTACAGGTTCCGATATTGCATGTGCAAGGTTCCTCTTTTGGTTGTTCTTTTTCTTTAGGTTTAGGAGGAGGAGCTCGAGGCTTCTTGACACTCCCATTATCTAGCTTTTTCCACTTATTCATTGGATTATTAGCTTCCTCGTGCTCTTTCAGTTTATCCCTCCAATCATCAACCTTTGCCTTTTCTGGTTCTCTGTAATCTGGCATTCCTATCTTCATAGCGTTCAACTGTTCTTGTTGTTTAGCTCTTTCCCTTTTCTTAATTTCGAGCCTCCAATCCCCTCCACCAGTCACTCCGGACGATTTTGTAGGAGGTGGCTTAGGCTGCTCATTTATACCTCCAGATTTCTCTGTTTTCCCCTTTTTCCTGTCTACTAGAACCAGGTCAGCAATTGTTCCTCGCATCTTTGATCTAATATTACCAACATCTTTAACCTCAGGTTCAACTTTCTCCACAAAAATCTCAATTTTAGCCGGGAGAGGAACTTCTTCTAGTTCTGGGAGACCATCATCTTCCTCCTCCTGGCTTTCCTCTTTTACAGGATATAGGTTTTCATATCCAGGATAGGTTATCATTAACAAATTAGTTCTGGCAGGAATATCTAGGTATTCTCTAAGCTGATCAAAAATTCCAGGTAATATATCAGATTTTATCTCTTTAACAGGAAGTTCTACCTGGGGTAGCTTCTCCTTCACTTGTATTGTCTGTAGATTGATCGCTAGATCTACAGCGTAACTCTTAGTTCCTCGTGAGAACCTCGGAACCTCGGAGGATATTCTATCCTGTTTATCAACTACATACGTGGCTCCGACAAAACTTCTTTCCGTCACAGCGTTTAGTTTGTTCTCTGAGAACTTGAGTTTTCTGGTGCTCATCTCTGGGATCCGATCCCTCCAGGAGTAGCCTGAGGACTGGATAGTGGTCTGGGATTGGTAAAGTTCTTCATTTCTCATATTCCTGTATTTTGCTCTTATCTCCCAACTAGACTCAAATCTAAACCAAACAGAATAATATCAGCCAAAAAGTAACAAATTATTTGCATCAAACTATACATTTTTTATCCTGAAATATTTCCAACCTAATGATGTAGATCTATGAAGAACTGTGAATCTATTGGTCAAAGTTTGAAATATGTTCTTCTAATTTTTGTATCATGTTTTAATCAAAAGTGAAAACTATTTAAAATTTTTTTCTAATTCCAGTTACTTTTTGAAAATTCCCACTGCTTAATAATTTGGAACTTAAATAATAATACGCTAAATCTAATTGTTTATAGTTATATAGTTTTAAATAAAAACTTACGTGTATAAATTAAAACTAACTAATACTAAAAAAAATTTAAAAATTATATTTAGATGACCTTGATGTTCGATTGTTTTTAGCTGAGTAAATGCTGAGATCAGGTGAGGAGGCAGAAGTCAAGGTTTTCCGTTGAAGCAGCTCCGGGACAATTATCTTAATTAACAAATATCATTTTTATATGAACATTAACATTGACACAAACTCTATTTTCTAATCCCTTTTGGTTTGGACCATCAGGTTGCCAATACAAATTCAGATATTTGACATTTGTTCCGCTTTGGGCGCTGTCATAGCTTCCTTCAACGTTTCAAGCTGTAAAGACGACATTTGAAGAAATCTACCAATGAATTCAAAAACTAGATAATGAAGATAAATTGAACTTTAATCGATTCTACCATGGGTTTCGTCGATAATTTCTTTTGAGACTACAATACAATTTTTGTTACATTTTTCGTTGTCGTTGTTTAATAATTTCTAAAACCCCGATTCTCTAAATGTATCAGCTGATCCAACCAAAATGGACAATCCGAAAGAATTTCAAAGATTAAATTTTCGTTCTTACCTTATAGCTTGTGGCTGAATCTTAATTTCTTTATTTAAAATATTCTTGTTTATGGATAAAAGTAAACATTTTTAAATTGAAATTTTTTTAGGATTAAAATTTTAGACAATTTGTTTAAAATAAGTATTATGTTTGTTTTTGCAGAGGACTACTATTTTCATAGATAAATAAATAAACATAGATAGCTTATGTACGCAAAATCATCAAGAATTGTACAGTCCGCGAACTCATACTTCTAGGGGTCAAAGTGTACTTCAATGATAAGCGGGGTGGTTAGGTGTTTTAATGGATTTCATAATAGAGTGTAAAATAACTCCAGGAATGGAACTATTTGAACAACAATATTTCACTGAGCAATATATCATATTGATGAGAACTGAATAAGGACATGAAGGACTAAACTAACTTAAATTTCTCTCTACAGAACTTATGTACACCAGAAGTACTCAATGACATAAGAACAGTCAATGTTCACAACCGACCTAGTTAATCTATATAATAGGAATATCTTTAAAACATCTCTGTACATTTAAATCTTTCAAAATGAAAAATGTCGTCTTATGCGCAATCTATCTTTATCTATGACTATTTTCCCTAAATCATCCTCATAACAATTTAGTTTTTTAAAGATTAATATAAAATTTAAAAAAATCTATTTTGATCGATTTGAGGTATTTCCCACTTAAAATAATAATTTAGGATTTCGCCCCCCCCCCCCCCTGTAAAGATCATATCTTTTAATTAAAAGAAGTAAATAATTAATTCTGCAAACAAGATTTAAATTTGGCTGAATCATCTAATTGGTTTTTAAAAACACGTTATAATTACATAGTAATATTTTAAAAGAAGTTTTGAAACACTTTCTCTTGTATTAAAGATTTGATTGATTTCTTTTAAGAAAGTTTTTTAACACCTGTTTTTTTTACTGTTACACAGTTAAAAGCCATTTGATAAAATGCCCTGAAAGAAAAAAATTACCTTTGGTAATTCTTGAACTTTCTTGACCTCATCCCGCATCCTCTGCAGGCGTAATTTCCAATCCTCTTCTTCTTTTAATTCTTCATTCTCCTCTTTCTCTTTTACTTTATTTCTAAACTCCCCCTTCTCCTCGTTTTCTTTTTCTGTTGGCTGTATCGGAGTTTTCGTGGATTCATCCTATAAATAGAAAATAAGTTTTTCATACAGTGCTTTAATGAAAATCAAAGGATAATAATTTTTCATAATTCTAAGAAATATTGCAAAACTATGTTGCTAAAATTCTCAAAAGACAAATTTTCTATTTTCAACCAATAAGAAAATTAATAATAATTTCTAGAAAGGGTCAAAAAATGATCTATTCCCATTTTTTTCTATTTTGTTTCCTGGGACCGAATTTAATGAATTTGAGCTAGATAGCTTAACTACCTACTGCCGGTTTGAATCACCGCATCAAAGTTAGAGATTCATGGAGTATTTAATCATTGGGTCAAAATTTAAACCTGCAGTAGGAAGTTCAGTGACCTTTCCAATTCATAAAATTCGGTCTCAAGTTTTATAGGGATTAGATTTTGGTGCAAGTAATCAGTTCCTTTACCTGAATATTTTCAGGTGGAGGATCTGTAGGAATATTCTTCTCATCTTTATCAGTTTCAGGGATCTCTTGGTTTGTGGTAATCTTCAGAATATGTTTTAATTTTACAGCTCTCTCTCCAGTCTATATATATAGTTATACAGAAAATAAAGGCAAATTATTCTCTGCTTTCTTAGGCCTATGATATTTCAAACTATGAAGTCTATGCTACATCAAATACTCTTAAGTTTGACATATTAGAGGTTTTCACTTGCAAAGATTTATAGATTAGAAATTTAAATCTTGTGGTAATTGATCAACGTCATTTACATGTTAAAATCTAACATGGAACCTTGGATTTTTTGTGGAAACCTTATTTTGTATCTCAAAGTATATTTTTCATCTTATTTTTAGGTACAGTTTAAAAAATATCTTACCTATTAAACTTAGAATATCCAAATTTGAAACCTAAGATTTTATATTTAACATTTAGTTTTCAAGTCAATGCTTAATACATAAATATAAGTATTTAATTATAAAATTTTCTAAAAAAAATCAAATTTTTACATTTTCTTAAAGAAATTTTTAAAATGATTCCTGCATGCATTTTTGATTTGTTTGAATTATCTATCTATCCCTGTAACCCGAAAATATTTGAAAACTGTTGAATTCAGCAGTTTTTAATTAGTTTCGCTTTTTTAGCTGTTGAAGCGTAGCCCCAATAGGCTAAACTTGAACTTCTTCACATACTCATAGACACCAATATTCAGACCAATTTGCCACTAGGTAATGGTAAGGAACTATCATTTTTACTTTTTTGAAAAACCATCGTTGCGCTTTAAAAACGACGAAAAACGAAACGGTTCTTTTGTGAAACCGATTGTGTTTGAAAAAGATCGTTTTTTTACATTAAAATAAGAAGTAGTGTTAATTCGTAGTTTCGTTAACGATGGTAGGATGTTTTTAATTTTTGACGATCGTTCTTCCTGAAAAAAAATAAATTAATTGTCATAAAACTCAGATTCATTAGCGAAAATATGTTCGGTCATTGTTACAACCGATTAAACAAGCCTAGGTACAGATTAAACAAGCCTAGGTACAGATTAAACAACCCTAGGTACAGGTGTTAATGAATAATGTTAAATTATAGAATTGCAGAATATATTGCTTCGTACTTTCCACTCCTTTAAATGTGTCTAATACTGCTCGTTATTATCAATCAATAAATTAAAATTGAATTTAATTTTTTTAAAAACGGTGTTCTTTTTTATTTCTGAAACTAACCCGTTCATTAAAACGTAAAAAGCTTAAGATATAATCTATATCTTTTAATCTTTAAAAACATTGCCCTTCAATACAAATCTTATGATAATTCACAATGACAATTCAAGAAACAAAATCAAATTAAGAAGGCTTTGAACTGAAAGTCGTAACAATTTGAAAAACTTATATTTTGACTAATATCATCTACTTTTCATGTGGTGGTTTTGCATGTAGAAATCCTCCTGATTCACTTTTTAGTTTACCAAAGAGAATGAGTGTAGTTCATAGGAATTTTATAATTCTATTCTCATATCTTTCAGACATTAAAAATTAACATTTCTTATTAAAAAAGGTGTTCCAAATTTTTCATGGTCTGACTTTTTATAACCTGTAAAATATAATCACTGTCCTACTTTTACTCACATTTTATCTAAACAATTGAGTAACTAATCTTTTAATATTTCATTTAAAACATGTCCCTTCAATAATTAAATATTTAGGACAAAAAAAATCAAATGATCTTTCAAATTTTTCATATACTTTTTTTCCTTCGATATATCTGAACTGATATTGCCTGCTTACTAGACGGAGTCGGATTAGAAGGTTAATGAGTTTTAAATGATTCACTCATTCATCATCTTACAAGAACATGTTTCCCCACAAGATATGCACTTACACTTTACAGATTTAAATCAATTTGCAGCAATGCATGTGCAAGAAAAATTATGATTTGAAAATTTCAATAATCAAGTTTGGAAAAATTAATAAAAGCAATTCCATACATTTTTCAATAATCAAGTTTGGAAAAATTAATAAAAGCAATTCCATACATTTTTCAATAATCAAGTTTGGAAAAATTAATAAAAGCAATTCCATACATTTTTCAATAATCAAGTTTGGAAAAATTAATAAAAGCAATTTCATACATTTTTCAATAATCAAGTTTGGAAAAAATTAGTTCTCGTCTTAATTTGGTTAAGCTGTATAGGTTGAAAGTCAAATATGTCTGGAAATTATGACTTGTTTATTTGATAGCTGGTCATAAATCAATAAAAAATCAGCTATCAAGGACATATTTTCCAGCAGACATAGCGTTCCGTTTTACAGTTTTATAAACAAATAATTTGTTTTAGACATAACATTCCATGCTACGGTATATCATTATACTGTGTCTCTTTAGATGGCTCAGCTACATTTTGCCTAGTCACATTTTGCCTAGTCACAATTTGCCTAGTTCACTTTTGCCTAAGTAACATTTTGCCTGGGTAACTTTTTGCCTAGTTCAAGTTTGCCTAGTAACATTTTGCCTAGGATAACATTTTTCCTGGGTAACGCAAGAGCATGTTTTTTTGCCTATTGCTTTTTTAAAAACAAATTTTGTCAAAAATTAAACATTTTTAAGCTTAACCAGTTAAATTTTAATGAATTAAATGTTATAGGACTTTTGAATTGTATCTTGTACAGATTATATCTTTATTTATCTTATTTCTCAATTACAGCCTTTTCTGTGGTCTTCAGCAGCTTGTTGGTAAGGCCATGGGTTGGGAGTACATCCCCTACCAGGTTTCGAGTAGATATCCTCGTTGTTAGGATTGCAGTGCAAGAACAGCGCCATTTTTTTGGTCTCTGCAGTTGTTTAACCCCTCATGGTAAGCCCTGCAGTTATCATGGGAGCCATTTTCAATTTTTCTCTCGATCTGATTGGTTTAAAGAAAATTGAATTATTTAAATATTTGCGAAATTGTTGTCAAAAAAATTGTGGATTTTTGAAAAAAAACTCTCGGATTGCTGAAAATTTCTTCGAGAAAAAATTATTGACAAGGCAAAAACTTTGCTCTTTTGTTACCCAAGGCAAAATGTTACCCTAGGCAAACTGTTATTAAGCAAAATGTTACCCAGGCAAACTGTTACCTAGGCAAAATGTGACTAGGCAGGCAAGTTGTAACTAGGCAAAATGTGACTAGGCAAAAAATAACGTTTCACAATACTTTGTACTTCAATTCAGGCATTACGATCCTGTGTTCCTTCAGACATTAAGTTTATAAAACTATACTGTTTTCCTTTATACATTAAGTTTATAAAACTATACTGTGTTCCTTTAGACACTAAGTGTATAAAACTATACTGTGTTCCTTTAGACATTAAGTTTATAAAACTATGCTGTGTTCCTTCAGACATTAAGTTTATAAAACTATACTGTGTTCCTTTATACATTAAGTTTATAGAACTATACTTTGTCTCTTTAGACATAGCGTTCCCTGCTACCGACTATAGTGTATAACTATACTGTTTCCCTTTAGACATAACGTTCCCTGCCATTGACTACCGTATATTACTATACTTTGTCCTTTTAGACATAACGTTCCCTGCTTCTGACTACCGTATTTAAATATACTTTGTCCATGCATTTTACACCATAAATATTTCCCTACTACAGTTTATCACACAAGTATTCACAAAACAACATTCCGTTCTACAGTTAATTACATGAATAAATTCATCAGCCTTAGCGCTCAAAGCTACATTTTATCACAACAAACAATTTCCCTCAGTCAGTTTATTACACGAATAACTTCCCTCAACCATAAATTTCCGTGCTAAAGTATATTACAAAACTTTTTCACCTTCAGTGATAGCGTTCCTGCCAACACTTTAGTATACAAATGATTTCCCTAAGCCATAATGGTCCGTGCTAGGTTTATTACGAAAAATGTCACATCAGACAAACGTTCCGTACTACATTTTATAACATTCTTTTAAACCCTCAGTTTGGAAAATATTCGACTAATTGGGGACAGGTAGAGTTTGAGAAATGGGAAGATATATTCCTTGCAATCAAAATTGAAGAAAAAGATATTCAAAAATAGCAATTTGAACCTTTGAATCGTCGTACCTTTAGAATGCATGCTTAGGGCAATCTTTTAACTGACAGATTAGCATTAAATTCTGTCAGTTGTAAATACTAATGTATTAAATAAGAGCAGTTTTTATAAATTCATTCATGCCTATCCATCAATAAAAGGGAGTGTGTACTTTTCAATACTTGAGCAAGGTAAAATATCAATTAAATATGAAAAATTTGATATTTACCTAATACGGATGAATTAGCAGTGCAATGTGCAAAATAAATGCATCAATTTCTGCATTTGATTATTATAAACCATATCAGGCCGAAAGTAAGTTCTGGTTTGGTGTTTGGCAAGCAGCTGGGAGGCCAAGAGAGGGAGAACTGTTTATTTTGCAGCGAAATGCTCACATGCAATATAAATATTCTATAAGAAGATTAAAGAGAGCCAAAAGTCATTTACTTCAAGATAAATTTACTCAAAAATTGCTCAATGGAGGAGGTGATATATTCAAAGTAATTAAGAAATTCCGGGGACAAAATACAACAATTTCAAATTGTATAGATGGAGAAGTTGGGGCCCAGAATATTGCAAATCACTTTCAAGAAATCTATGAAAATCTGTACTCCCAGCATACTCTAGGAGAAGATTTTGATAAAGTGCAGCAAAATATACAAGAAAGAGTTCATCATGGATTACAGAATGATATAAATAAAGTTAACAGCCAGTCAGTCAAAGATGCACTAAATAAAATGAAAGCAATGAAAAGTGATGCATTATTTGACTTCAGCTCTGACTGCTTAATTAATGCATCAAACAAGTTAATAGATCATGTGACCAACCTATTTAAATGGTTTTTGGCTACAGGCAAAATTCCTGCTTTTTTACTACTGTGCACATTAGTGCCCATAGTGAAGGACAACTTAGATGACATTGCTATCAGTGACAATTACAGGGCAATTGCCATTGGCAGCTTGATTCTAAAATGGTTTGACTGGTTGATATTAATTCTAAACTCTGATAAGCTGACCACAGATGAACTTCAGTTTGGTTTTCAGAAGCTAGCCAGTACTACAATGTGCAGCTGGGGGGTCAACTCTGTAGTGGATTATTACAACAGAGCTGGTAGAGCAGTTTATGCTTGTGCAATGGATCTGAGTAAGGCATTTGATCTTGTGTCATGGGAAGTGCTCTTCACAGAGTTATTGGAGAGGGGTGTTTCACCTCTAGCATTAAGGTGTTTAATGTTCATTTACTCAAATCAAAAATGTAATGTTAGATGGGGTAATGCGTTCTCAAATACCTTCAATGTACAAAATGGAGTCAGACAAGGAGCAGTTTCTTCCCCTGTGCTATTCTGTATTTACATTGACAAAATTATCAAGTTATTACGATGTTCAACTATTGGATGCCAAATCCAGGGTGTCTATATGGGCATCTGGGTATATGCAGATGATATTATCCTGCTTTCTCCTAGCAGAACAGGTCTTCAGGAAATGGTGAAAATTTGTGAAAATTTTGCCAAAGCTACTAAGCTGAAATTTAGTACAAATATTTGAATCGAAAAATGTAAAACTAAATGCCTTATCTTTTCTAAAGAAAGGATTAATTATAATGAAATAACCCCAATTTTATTGAATGAATTACCTTTACCATTTGTTAACGACTTAAAACATTTAGGAAATGTTCTGCAAAGTGATAATTCAATGACCATAGATTGCAATAAAAAACGAGCTATTTTCATTTCAAAAATTCATTCCCTTAACCAAGAATTTTATTTTAACAGTCCTGATGTTATTTTGAAACTGTATAATATTTACTGTTGTAGTTTTTATGGATCTAGTATTTGGGACTTGAGTTCCCAATGTGTTTCAAAATTGTATACAGCATGGAATACTGCTATTAGAATTCTTTTTAATGTACCTAGAGATACGCATAGGTACTTGATTGAAAGTATTTCACAATGTTTACATGTAAAAACTATGTTAGCTAGCAGATGTGTGTCTTTCTATGAGACTATTGAAGCAAGTTCTAAGCTTTGCATTAGATTTCTTTCTAATTTATGTAAAAATGACCTCAACACAGTTCTTGGCAGAAATTTATTTTGTATTGCAAATGATTGTTCTGTAAATCCTTCCGATCTTAGTAAAATGTTAGTTAAGAAACAAATGAAATATTTTGATGTCCCATTGGAACATGAATGGAAAGTTCCGGTTTTACAAGAACTTTTAAGTACAAGAATGAATAATTTATATGTTGAAGGATTTGATGATTACGTAATAACTGAAATGATAAATATGTTATGTAGTGAGTAAAAATCAATGTTTTCTATTTGTGCATAATTTTGCATATTTTTTTCTCTTTTCTTTTGGAAACCTGTATTTTCAAAAAAAATTTATTTAAACAAATTTTAACTACACCATTTATATATGTATTTATATCTTTGTGTGTGAATAAATCTTTATAATAAAAAATCCATAGTGTTTTTATTTTGCATTTATCAGTTTTCAAAATTAACGGGACTGGAGACATTATTTCAGGTGATCCGTTATTAATACATCGGCACGTCCAATTCTCAACGCTACCCTTTAAACCTTTCTTTGTTTAAAGGGAGTGACCGACGATGTACAGTAGTTGAACTGAGAATGTAGTATTGGGGAGAAGAAATTTTTTAGGATTCATTTGGAATATAGAAAACAATTTATTGATTTATAATTTCTGAGTTTGAGCGCAACGTCGACTTTCAAAATCATCCATTTGGGTGTATGCGTTTTAAGAATCGATTTTTTTAATCATTAGATAACGACGACGAAAAATGTAAAAAACTTCTATAGTAAACAAATTAGTTGTTTAGGAACAGGTTGAAAAAAATAACTCTTATCATCGAAAATAAGTAATTTTATCAGTTATTAGTTTCTGTAATCGCTTATTGTTCACAAACATATTTTGTAGATATTTTTTATTGAACGACATTTGAAGAACTTTTAGAAATCTGCGAAAAAATTTCAATATAATAATTAAAAGGAAATAATTAATTTTAAATTGATTTATTGACAAATTTCGATAGAGATAGAGAATTAGGTTCCTAAACATGTAATTAATTTAGTTTAGTGAGAATTTTTGATTCATTTTTTGTCGTCGTTATTTAATAATTAAAAAAAATACCGATTCTTGAAACGTAACCACCCAGTGACCCAAATGGATGACTTTGAACGTCGACTTTTCGCTCAAACTCAGAAATTATGCATCATTAAAACGTGTTAAATGTCTCAAATGAATCCTAAAAAATTTCTCCACAATACTACATTCTCAGTTCAACTACCATACATTGCCGGTCACTCCCTTTACCCCCCACCCCTCCCCGCCTTGGAAACAAGAACTAACCTGGCGTTTTTTTAGAGCCTTGTTCTCTCCTTTCCATCCGTCAGGAGGAACAGCTCTAGGCCTTTTATCCTAAATGAATTTGTTAAATTACAATATTTATTTAAAATTTTTATAGAGTTTTGTAAACTAAGAAGGGACTTAATGAAAGTACGGTGATAACCAAAAAACTGTAAAATAGAAAGACGACATTAAAGTGATGCTGTAATGCATTATGCGTTGTTACAAAACTAATAGATTTAGAGTAAGTTATTAAATCTTATTAAGTGGAAAGGGGTCTTTTTTCACTGCACTATTGTTCTGCCTCATGCTTATTAGACTAACTTCAGTCTAATAGTCGACCTCGTCTTCCAGAGTTTTATAGTCATCACTGTAAACTAAATTATTTCCTTAAATTAGTATTCAAAACTAGGTTTGTTAATGAGGGGGATTACTAAATAACATCATTTAGAAGTTTTAAAGGAATTAGGTATATTTTGAAACACTTGAGGTAGAAATTTATGAAATCAAGAGAAGTTGTTTGATTTACTCCTTCAGTGTGGCTGCGAGTAAGTAATTGAACTATATGTATATTTAGTTCAACTGTAACTTTTGATTAGGGTTTCCAGCGAAAAAATTCATCTTCGCGAAAAAGTGCAAAATTTAGCGACAAAGTTTGCGAAATACGAACGATAATTTTCGCTTTTTTCGCAAACGTTTTCGTTCGCTAGAAACCCTATCTGTGATAAAGGTCAGTGCTGATGGGCATCATTTTGACGTCCCTTTTTAAACATTCAAAATATTTAGACTTTTGAAAGGATTCTGCGATGTTCTTCCTGTTTCAAAATGTTGATGCTTGATTAGTTTACTTATATTACATTATGCAAGATGTTTACTCTGAACAAAGTTATCGACCAAAAAAAACAAAACAATTTTTTAAGTCCATTAGCAAAATTTGAAAAGATTATTGTAAAAAATCGTTTTGGTTAACATCTTTAGTCCAAGAAAAATTTTTGTATAAACTAATAAAGGCAAACTAATCAACCATAAAATTCTAAAACAGGATAAACAATGTTCGTCCGAAGATCCCGTCAGCGTGAAAATTGTAAATATAATAACCTGTAGTTGTATTGTGAATATACAGGGTGTCCCACATCATATTAGACCGTCAACGGGTCTAAATTGCGATTTTCGGGACTAATAAGAAAATTTAATTCGAATAAATCAATTTGAAAAATAACATAAGGCTTATATAAGAATTTTCTTGCGGAAAATGATAAGTTCTTCGAGCATTAAGGGTTTATTTTGCCGTTAAAGGTTAGAGATAATCTAATATGATATGGGACGCTCTGTAATAACCTGTAGTTGTATTGCGTCCTTGGATCCACCGAAGTTTTTAACTACAACAATCACCATTCCTGATTATACAGTTACAGTTACAATTGGATTCTTCTCTCACCCTTTACTGATTAGCTTTTAACAGTATTCACCGTTTTGATTGCTTGCTTTGTAGTTAGCTGATTCCTCTCTTTACAGTTTGCTGATTATTTTCTTTACAGCCAGCTGATTATTTCTTTACAGTTAGCTGATTCGGTTTTTTACAATAAGCTGATTGGTTTCTTTTTCAGTCAGGTGATTGGTTTCATTGCAGTTCGATGATTTTTTTTCTTTACAGTTAGTGCATTGGTTCTTTTTCAGTCAGCTGATTGGGTTCTTTAAGGATGGTTGTTTTGTCTCTTGTCAGTTGGTTGATTAGTTTCTTTACAGCTGGTTGATTGATTTCTTTACAGCCAGCTGATTGGTTTCTTTACTGTCAGCTGTTTGGTTTCTTTACAGTACGATGACTTGTTTCTTTACAGTGGGTTGATGGGTTTCTTTACAGTTGGTTGATTGGTCTTTTTTTTCTGTCAGCTGATTGGTTTCTTTTCAGTCAGCTGTTTGGTTTCTTTACAGTTCGATGACTTGTTTCTTTACATTGGGTTGATGGGTTTCTTTACAGTTGGTTGATTGGTCTTTTTTTCTGTCAGCTAATTGGTCTCTTTTCAGTCAGCTATTTGGTTTCTTTACAGTTCGATGACTTGTTTCTTTACATTGGGTTGATGGGTTTCTTTACAGCCAGCAATTTTCACAGTCTGCTGATTAGTTTCATTACAATCAGCTGATTACCTTCTTTAAAGTCACTTGATTAGTTTCATTACATTCGATCAGCTAATTATTTTCATTACAGTCAAATGATTAGTTTCTTTACAATAAGCTGAATATTTTCTTTACAGCCAGCTGATTGGTTTCTTTACAGTCAGCTGATTGGTTTCTTTACAGCCAGCTGATCAGGTTCTTTATGGTCCGCGGATTAGGTTCTTTACAGTCAGCTGATCAGGTTCTTTACAGTCAGCTGATCAGGTTCTTTATAGTCTGCTGATTAGGTTCTAAACCATCAACTGGTTGTTCGTTAAATCACATCCTGAAATATAAATGGTATTTATTAAAAACATTAATTTTAATTAATGTTTCGATTATCTTATTTATAAAAAATGAATAGAATTGCGGAAATACTAAATTTTATTTGTTATTAAAATCATTTGTTTAATTGTGTTCAATGTTACTAAAATATATGTAATATATATCCTTCAGGGTATCCTTGGCTTATATATTTATCTTATATATTATATATATCTGCTTACTTTTAAACTGTCACGTGGTTTTGGGTTAATACGCTTTCTATTGAAATATTTCATTAATATGTTTTATCTATCAAGCAAATAATTTCTTTTTTATCAATCCATCAATCAATCGAATGATTTCTGAAATTTTAGAAATGTAATTATCTTTTCATTAATCTATGTACACATATAGATATCAAGATCCTTGAACATTTTCAAAATTAATCGTTTTCCTGGAAGCTTTGCATCGCATTCAATTATTTTTTTATTTTCCCCCCAAATCACTTTTATAAACCACATTGGATCATTTTTAATGTAAAAAACCTTGGCACAAATTTGACATCCCTTCTTTTTTAAAAATTCACAGTGAGTTTTTAAACCCTTTTATCTTTGTTAACCCTGAAACTTACGTAGATCGTTAGTTCGTGAGTGTCTGGATTCGACTGGATATAGGTGAATCTATGTATGTATAGATGTATATATATGTATATGTATATTATATGTATATTTACACACATATATGTAGAATCCAAATCAGCTGTATCAGCAGTCAACATTCAACAAAATTAATTTTAAATTCAAGCTTTAGGTCTGGAATTTGTGACTGTTTGATGGATCTACATCATAATTATAACACTATTGACCAGAGTGACCACCAGGATTAGTGGTTACCCAGGTCTGATCTTTCTTTTTCATTAGTTAATATATATGTTAGTAAATATCATTTATACCATTAAGAACTTCTTGGAGGTTTGTAAAAGTATTAAATAAGTTGTTTGAAAATGTTTAAATTTTCTTTTAATTGCTTTGAATTTTCTATAAAATGCGCGCCGGGTAAAAATCCGCGAAATTGTCAAATTGTCAAATTGTGTACAAAATGATGAACTGTATAAGCATAAAGCAGAGGCATTACAGGTCACACAATTAAGTTAAAAGTCTTTGAATCTTAAAGATTACTTCTGCGATTGAAACCGAAATCAAATGCTTCAATTGGAACCAGCTTAGTGTAGAAGCAGCTAACTACTTTATAAGGTTATCTGCAACAACTGTAGTCACACAAAAAAAACTCTCAATCTCGACTAAAAAAGAGTAAAAACTGTAAAACTGGAAAAAATATCACTACTGAAGGTAAATTTTTAATTTTTTTAAAGTGCAAGCTCAACTACAACAGTGTTTTATAAGTTTAGAGTTTGGTGAAAATTGATGTAACTGATAAACTTGGTATTTAAAAAAAACAGTCTTTAGTTTTACAGGGGGGGGGGGGGCGGTAATGCAATCATAGGGGAACCTGCAACATAGTTTTATCTTTAACATGAAAGATCCCCTTTAAACATTGTAACAGAAAACTTTAAGGATTAAGCTGAAGCAGCGACAGTTGGGGAATTAGTTAAATTGGTTGAGATTTCATGAAATCAAATTAAAATCTTTGTAAAAATAAAACATTTTAATGTCCATACAGGTGTATGAGTTTAAATACAATTCTAAGAAGAATTATTTTTATGAAAAAGTTAATCTTAAGCTAATATGATTGATTATTTTACAGTGCTTTTTACGGAACTGATTAAGTTTATTAAACTGTTACTCAGTCAGAAGACTGCATGACCAAACACAGCACAGGAAAAGCAATCCAGCATAGGTTTGAAAAAACGTGGATCAGATTCCAGAATGAACCACAAAGATTATGTCAAAAATTTAGTAATGTTTGCGGTTTGCATCAAATGATAGTTATAAGAATAGAAGCTCTTTGTAAATAATAGTGTTATGTTAATAATCTCTTAAAAAGTCAAATATCTAGATGCATCAAAAATTGTTATCGATGTTGAGATTAAACTTTACTAATAATGTTTATGTGTGTTAAAGCATCTAGCTATGTACATAGCTCGTTAGACCCTCAGGAATGTTTTCAGCAAGGAAAGCTGGGTTTCTTAATCTAATGGAAACATGTTATTGTAATCTTTTATAAAAAGAATCCTGCTGTTTTTCGCGGATTTTCAAACAATCTAAGAGATTCCAACCTTCCAGAAGTTCTTAATGGTAAAAATGATTTATGCTAACTTATATATCTAATTAATCAAAACAAAAAATCAGACCTGGGGAACTACTCACACTCACGTTCACTCTAGTCAACATGTGAAAATATCATCTATGTACTTTTTAAAACCGTGTATTTTGAAAAGTTATTAATGTATGACTGAACTCAATGTTATGAACATTTATCATAATTATAATAATTTAGTTTAATAATATAATGTTTTTGTAATTATAAACTGTAATTCACTGTAGTTTTTAATAAGAATATTGTTTTTGTCCAAATTGTTAAATATTCCTCCTTAAACAATCCTTCCCCCGCCCAATTTCCGTAAATTAGATCAACCCCCACTTTATACTCTAAACCTTGTTTGATTCGAATCTACATTACAAAACAAATCTCAAGGAAAAATAATTGTCTTTAAAAGTGAATAGTTTCACATTATCTCATTAACAAATATCATGATCTGAGTTCATTTAATGTTTTAATTTGACATTTTTCTTAATTTTTTCTTTATTCTTTATTCTAGAAAGTTTCAATTACCGGAGTAAACAAAGATTAAATAATAGAGTCCCAAAAATAAAATAAATAGATTAACGACTTTTCACTAATCTATAAAGTTGAAAAAATTAATTAAAGATTGTATGATATAAAAAGAATTTACTTTTTTTGCTACAAACTCAACTTTTATAATTTCTATATTTTTTTCAACCCCTTGCTGTAAAAAATTTGCATACTTAGATTATTTGATCTAATAAAGTTGATAGTTTGATATATCAAATGCTTGCACCATCAGGTTGCAATGATATAGGGATTGGAAAATCAGAGTTTGTGACAAAAATTCAATTACTTTTCTAAAAATATGGCTTTCTTTCTTCTGCAAATTAAAGATTTTTAACTTTTGGTATTGATGAAAGATCCAAACAAGCAGCAAACAAAAAATTTCTTCATTGTTTTTGGTGTTTACTTTCTTTAATGCTTACGAACTTAATTGATTCTAACTGAAAAACATGAAGCAGGCCTAACATAAAACTTTAATTTAGAAGACTCGAAATGTTTGCATGACTTGGAGATATGGAGCTAGAATTAAAATAAGATTATTTTCAGTATGTATTTATCATGTATGTATACAGAATTAGGTGTTACGGTTGAAAAACATAGATTTAAAATCAAAACAATTTTCTGTTTCATCTCTCTAAAGATTAAAGGGACTGTAAACATAATTTCAAGTGACCCTTCATACAAAGATGGCAATGTCCGATTATTAATGGTACTTTAAAAGCCTAGTTTGATCACGCATGCAAAAATTTCTATGTTTATGATTTTGAAAATTGATTATTTTCAAATGTAGTCGGTTTCTAAACTAAAATTGCTTGCGCATTTTTACTAAGGAAAACATGAAGAAATTTTCAGAATTAAAATATTTTAAAACCCAGGAACCTAATAATATCTTCAAATTTATTGATTAGACGAAGGTTCCAAGGTTCTACGTTGTGTATCGGGCATTGCCATCTTTACATTGAGGGCCACCTTAAATTACGCTTACAGTCCCTTTACAAATAATTTGGATTGATCCTCTTGAGATTACATTACACACTAAAATGCTCTCAAATACACTGCTAGTTCTCTCATAATTGTCCAACGTATAGTACAGTTTAATCAAATAGATTATCAAGTACAATAGGTGGCAACAGAGAAATGGAATAATTATACACGACGTCACAAGTGTCAAATATAACATTAAAAACGAAATTGTCTCACATTAGTTGACATGTTTTCCAAGATTAAATAAAAACTGAACTTAAAAAATACATAAAACTGCACTTATTTTACTGTAAGATAAGTACTTTATTCTAAAATTATCACTATTATTGATAATTTTGTCGGACACAAAAACTGAATTGACACTTGTGACGTCAGAATACAACTGTACTGAGAGTGTACAAATTCTACGTTGCCATCTACTGTACTAGAATCTATTTGAGTTTAATCTACCGAAAGCTTTATAAAAACTAGAAATGTGCGCGGTTCACTTAGTTCAACAATTCTACAATTGGCTAGTATCCTGACCGTCCGTCCTGTGGGTCGGCAGTCCGTCAATTTGCACTTCAACCAAGATGAAAACAGACGCCCCTGCTCTTTTTAACGAACTTCTATGATGAAAATTTTCTATCATGGAAATACACACAGAGAAACAACTTTCCCACCTTAAGAGCGCATTTAAATTTTGTCAAGCAAAACTAGTATAACCTTCACTTCAGAATAGGTTAGATATCTAACCCTTTGATGTTAAAGCCTCGAGAAGTGTAATCAGATTCTAGAGATGAAAGCTTGTTGATAAAAGCAAAGTCTTGTTAGGATATTGACTTAAAAGATAGAAAATTATTATATAGAATCTAGAACATTTTTTGTTAGTCTATGGTTAAATATTATAATTTATGGACATTGGATAAGAAAGGTAATGTTTACGCAGATTTGTTGATATACTAAATTACAATACAAAAACTGTTCTGTAGGGGACTGTAGACTCTGCAGTCCAGCACATAGTGCTGCAGATTACTATGCTGGACTATAGTACTGCAGATTACTATATGGTGGACTATAGTACTGCAGATTACTATATGGTGGACTATAGTACTGCAGATTACTATATGGTGGACTNTAGACTGTACTGCAGAGTTCTAAAGACTGTACTGAGAGCTCTATAGACTGTACTGCAGAGTTCTAAAGACTGTACTGAGAGCTCTATAGACTGTACTGCAGAGTTCTAAAGACTGTACTGAGAGCTCTATAGACTGTACTGCAGAGTTCTAAAGACTGTACTGAGAGCTCTATAGACTGTACTGCAGAGTTCTAAAGACTGTACTGAGAGCTCTATAGACTGTACTGCAGAGTTCTAAAGACTGTACTGAGAGCTCTATAGACTGTACTGCAGAGTTCTAAAGACTGTACTGAGAGCTCTATAGACTGTACTGCAGAGTTCTAAAGACTGTACTGAGAGCTCTATAGACTGTACTGCAGAGTTCTAAAGACTGTACTGAGAGCTCTATAGACTGTACTGCAGAGTTCTAAAGACTGTACTGAGAGCTCTATAGACTGTACTGCAGAGTTCTAAAGACTGTACTGAGAGCTCTATAGACTGTACTGCAGAGTTCTAAAGACTGTACTGAGAGCTCTATAGACTGTACTGCAGAGTTCTAAAGACTGTACTGAGAGCTCTATAGACTGTACTGCAGAGTTCTAAAGACTGTACTGAGAGCTCTATAGACTGTACTGCAGAGTTCTAAAGACTGTACTGAGAGCTCTATAGACTGTACTGCAGAGTTCTAAAGACTGTACTGAGAGCTCTATAGACTGTACTGCAGAGTTCTAAAGACTGTACTGAGAGCTCTATAGACTTTACTGCAGAGTTCTTAAGACTGTACTGAGAGCTCTATAGACTGTACTGCAGAGTTCTAAAGACTGTACTGAGAGCTCTATAGACTGTTCTGCAGAGTTCTAAAGACTGTACTGAGAGCTCTATAGACTGTACTGCAGAGTTCTAAAGACTGTACTGAGAGCTCTATAGACTGTACTGCAGAGTTCTAGAGACTGTTCTGCAGAGTTCTATAGACTGTACTGCAGAGTTCTTAAGACTGTTAAAAAGAGTCGTGAAGAATATACTACAGAGTACAATATACTGTACTGTAGATTACCAAAGAATGTCCATGTAGAGTACTAAATTATGTTACTGCAACATATTGTACACAATACCGTAAAATACCGTAGACTTAGAGCGTATTGCAAATCTATACACTAAATTATATAACATTTTTGAATGAAGGTTTGAATTCCTGCTCAACTGCTCAGATTAATTTTTCTGACGTAAACATTCCTGAGAAGGTCCCGTACACTGGAGACAGGAGTCTTGTGATCAAAACTATTCAGGGATATCCGTAATATACTCTAAATTGAATAGAAAAAAGACTGAAAGACTCCAGTTATGACTGTAAGTAGTGCAATGAACATGATTATCACCAATTGAGTATTATAAACAGACGACTTAATAAATGATTTAAAAGTTACTAGTAAAACTATTTGCTTTGTAACAGCATCTAATACACTTAACTTTTTTACTTTAATGTCGTCTTTTTATTCCACAGTTATATGGTTGGAGTTTTTTGAATAAAAATAACAAATACTCATAAATCTTTCTCAGAAAATGTTGAATCATTCATTTACATACAAATGTGGAAACCAAATATATTTGCGTTGATATTTTGTTTTCAATTTTAAATAATTTAAAAATCATTTTCTTTTAAATCATCTTGTTGAATTATCCCTTGTATGNGGGGGGTCATATCTTTATCCTTTCATAATTATCCAGAATTAAAGATGTTTTACTTACTAACAGGCAAGTTTGAAAAACGCTGAATCCTGAATGTTAGGATTGATCGCTGATCTTTATCATTAAATTATCTTCATTTTGGTAAATATGTACATTTTTTACTTTTTATTTAAAATATTCCAGATTAAGAAATCATTCAGAAAAAAATACATGTCTTGGTGAAAAAAATTAAAGTATTGAATTTTGCATAACTTGAGAAAACTAACCGATTATTGGAACAATAATGATTTTTCCGGTTGACACCTTGACATGACACACATTGTTGTTGAAAATATTTCGATGTCTCAGTCTCAAAATGAAGAACAGAAATTAAAAAACGTGGATTGTCTAAATGTCGTCTTCCTATTGTACACAGTTTTAGTTGGGTCACTGTTTGAGAAAACATCTAGGTTAAATGAGCTGAATTTAAACAGGACTACCACAAAAGAGCAAAATATTCCATGTTTTTAGAAAAGATGATCATTATTTCTGCTTATTTTTTATACTGTTCACCATGCCAGTTTTATTCTGAATTCCGATGCAATTTAATCTTAAAGGGACTGTAAGTGATTCTCAAGCGTATCAAGAGATTTCAATGCAAAGAAGAGCATGCCATATTCACAATGGTACCGTTAAAATCTTTGACAGGTCAAGGATGTTGGAGAACTCCAAATTTATATCTTCATAAAAATTGAGTGAAAAAAATCGTTTTAACAGTTTAATTTATAAACTAGTTTTCTTTTCTTCAATTTACTTATAATTTATTATGAAAGTAACGGTATAAAAGATTTTTTATTTCAGACACTATTTTTAGGTGTTACGAATAACAAAAAGTTGAGTGTAAAATGATTGATAATAAAATTATAAACCGTTCAAAACCATGAAAGAAACGCTCTTTTTTCTTTAACGATCAAATCATGTAAACGACAAAAAGTATTGTAACATTCTCTAAAACATTGTTTTTAATCGTTTGTAAACACTCGTAATCCATCATTCAAACCCATATATCCCCTGCAGCTTCAATACCAGAACGGATATAGACCCAACCCATATATCCCCTGCAGCTTCAATACCAGAACGGATATAGACCCAAACCCATATATCCCCTGCAGCTTCAATACCAGAACGGATATAGACCCAAACCCATCCCCTGCAGCTTCAAAACCAGAACGGATATGGACACAAACCCATATATCCCCTGCAGCTTCAATACCAGAACAGATATAGACCCAACCCATATATACCCTGCAGCTTCAATACAAGAACGGAACGGTTTAAAAGTGCATTTACAACGCTATGCTATAGCTGTTAACTGTTACTCTTTAAGCAACCATTTTTCTTTGTCCAGGATATTTCTTCGTAACTGGAAAACTAAAAAATTCGGAATTTCCTGTAAATTTTTATAGATTTATAAAATAAAAAATAAAAAAAACATTTTCTCCAGGAAAAATCTTTTACTTTTAATCATCCCAAAATCTGCCCAATGTTCATGTAAGTTACAACATCACATTTGGGCCCGATCGGTTTAGATGTTTCGACGTTTTTTGGATCCAGACAGATAGACATACAAACCAATTAAATACAAAGATAGATTAAATAATAACTTTCCAATTTCGTTAAACAATTTCTAAAACAAACAAATGGGCACATTTTCAGTGGTTCGACCCCAAACTTAAATCCCTGCAACCAGCACCAGTTTATAATCCTGCTCCGGTTTATAATCCTGCTCCAGTTTAAAATCCTGCTCCAGTTTATAATCCTGCTCTACTTTTTAATCCTGCTCCGATTTGAATCCTGCTCTAGTTGATAAACCTGCTCCAGTTTTTTGAGCCAGCTCCAGTTAACATCCTGCTTCAGTTTTCCAAACTGCTTCTGTTTTTAATCCAGCTCCAGTTTTAAATCCTGCTCCAGTTTTGGATCCTGCTCCAGTTTTGGATCCTGCTCCAGTTTTGAATTAAGTTGAAAACTTTGCTCCTAAATATTTAGCGAGCTAGATTGAAGGTGTATTTGATAATACTGACCTACACGCTACATCCTATATGTCAAATTCAATCAAAAAATTATTAATTTGGGGTGTCATAGTTTTGTAGATTTAAGACCTTTTCATATTTAAAAATATAAAATAATATTAAGTTCTAAACTGATTTTATTGTTGAAAAAAAAATTTTATTTGGAAAAAGTTTAAATATTAACCTTTAAAATGTGGGATTTCCATATGTGTTTTTTCACAACATAAAACTATTTTTTTCTTCTATTAGTTGGTATAAATTCGATGAAAGTTCTAAAATATTTGCATCCTGTAAATTGTTTAGATCGGCCCTGATTCAAGAACCTGCGTACAAGAAACTAAATTAAGAGAGAGCTTGAAATATGAACTAAGGTCGAGGAATGCAGAACAGTCTTTTCATCACGATACGCTTATTAGGGACCATCACCAAGATAAGGAATTCATGATGCTTCGTAACCTTCGGAATTTGGGCAAGGTTACACAATTCTATTATTTACTTGTTTGTAGTCTTTGCCACAAACTCTGATTTTCTAATCCATATACAGTGATAACCAGAAAACTGTAGAATAGGAAGACAGCATTATAGCAATACTGAAGTACATTTGATGTTGTTTCAAAGCAATTAGCTTTACTAAAAAGTTATTAAATGGGTCTGTTTACACTGCACAATAGCTGTGTATCATGTTTATTTCTCTATTTCAAGCATAGATAAATAAATAAACATAGATAGCTTATGTACGCAAGATTCACCAAGAATTGTACAGTCCGCGAACTCATACTTCTAGGGGTCAAAGTGTACTTCAATGATAAGCGGGGTGGTTTGGTGTTTTAATGGATTTCATAATGAAACTATTTGAACAACAATATTTCACTGAGCAATATATCGTATTGACGAGAACTGAAGAAGGACATGAGAAGGACTAAACAAACTTAAATTTATCTCTTCAGAACTCATGTACACCACAAGTACTCAATGACATGAGAATAGCCAATGTTCACAACCGACCTAGTTAATCTATATAATAGGAATATTTTTAAAACATCTCTGTACATTTAAATCTTTCAAGATGAAAAATGTCGTCTTATTCGCAATCTATCTTTATCTATGATTTTAAGTCATTACTTGAGTTTAAAATTTGGCTTCCTGTTCAAGAGTTTTCTGATTATCACTGTGTAATTATATCTTTGCAACCCAATGCCGTAGACCTTAGATATTTCAACCTATGAATTCTGTTAGATCAACTATTCTAAGTGAGAAATCTAAAAGCTCAAAACTTTCAGGTTGCAAAGATATAAGGATTTGAAAATTTGAGTTTGCCGCAAAGACTTAATTCCTTAATCTAGATTTAGATAAAATCCTATTCTAGCACGAGATGACCAGAGGTTAAAGCTTTGTTTTGGGAATCAATGACAAAACGAAAAATTTGTGTTTAATTTTCCAAATTGGGATCGAAAGTTACAGCTTGCAGGATACTAGGACCGAACCGTTAAATCAATGTGTTCATGAATAAATCATTATTTGATTATATTATTTAATGTATATCTATATGTTGGGTTCACATATTTCGGAAAGGGAATTGTCACTTTTGGAATACGATATTGGAAAGACGGCTTTCCAAATCGAGTGCAACTTCAGGACTCCTTCAGGACTCCTATAAATATGCTTTGCCTTAACTGTTTACATTTACAGAAAAGACATGTAAACAAATATAACAATTTAATTCTTTTGTACATATATTTACATGCATAGAGTTTAACTGGTACAGGTTTAATACAATTGTTTTTTTACATCATCAAAAACAAGTCATCAGTCATAATTTTTGTAGCAAAATAGTTTATCTTCAAAATTGAATACATTGAGTATTTTTTGATCGATTGATCATAATTTAGATGTTTTTTAGAAACTTCATACTTTTATATAGAATGTCTTGTAAAATAATTTATTTTGTGTCGGGTTCAAACTAGGGAAATAAAAGATATTGACCTTTTTTATTTCATGGAAGCTCGAATTTAGAAAACAAGCTAATATCCCAAATTAAATCTTTTCAACACAATAATGCAAAGTTTTTTGTTAGTTTAAAAGTATTTTAAAGGATGTATAAAGTTCGTATAAAGTGAAAAACTAATGATTTCAGAAAAAGGCAAGTTTTAACAAAATGAAGACGACAGTTATTGCTAATGTGGTTTTTCCTTTCAAAGATTCAGCGCCATTGCAGCCATCATGGCTGCAATAACATTCCTCCCAGTATACTCCATTCTCCTAAACACGCCTTATTATTGGTTGATGCATGATGCATGATGCTTGATACACAATGGATGATGAATTTTAAATGAAGCATGATACAAGATGCACGCTGAAAGATGGATGATGCATGATACAAGATACATCAGCATGCTGGACGATTTAAAATACATGATACATGATGCATTCTGGATGATGGATGATGCATTCTGGATGATGGATGATGCATGATACATGATGCTGCAGATGTAGGATGATAGATTATGTTTGATCCATGAAAGTTGACATATATTGGATAACAGGATGGCAGGATGGATGACATATATTGGATAATAGGATGGCAGGATGGATGACATATATTGGATAACAGGATGGCAGGATGGATGACATATATTGGATAACAGGATGGCAGGATGGATGACAAAGACGAATGACGGATGAAGAAAGCTGAATTGCAAATGATGCAGGATTATACTTTATAGAATTTTTTTTTAATATTGACCTTGATGGTTATTATATCATTAAAGCTAAAAAGGGTTAACTCCGACCAAAATATATTTTTTTAATGTGGAACTTACACCTACTTTTAATTCTCTATGAGGTTTGGAACATCATCAACACAGAATTTCAAATATTAAAAAATGATGATGAATTATAGATAAAAGATAGGATGGGTCGTGGATCGTGGATCATGGATCATCATGAATAATATAATGGATTGTGGATTATGGACGCTAAAAAATGGATCATAGCATAAATCATGAATCATGAATAATTCATAAATCAGCATGATGCATGATGCATAAAGAATGATACATGATGTATGATGGATGATGTATGATGAATAATAATAATGGATAATGCATAATGTATGATGGATGATGCATAATGTGTATGATGAATGATGTATGATGAATTATCACGTTTATCCAAACTGCTTTGAAAGGTTGCATCAAAAATTAAGACTGGGTCTTCTTAAAAGTGTCGCAAAGCCTTTGAATTTGATTTAGCTCAATAATTCAATTTTATTTCTTTTTTGTATAAAGTATAAAGCACTTGTTTGTAGCATTAGTATTTTAAAAGTGAATGGCAATATTCTCGTAGATTTATCCATGAGAGCTTGCAAGCTTTGGATCGGTATATGATAATAAATACCTGAACACCCCAATTACAGACTCCTGTGACTCCTGTATCGGAAACACTGGCACAACGACGTATTACTTGACGCCATCGACCATCCCCTTCAAAAACAGTTTTTAGACACAAAAAATTAAAGACTTAAATATAATTTCTCTCAAAAAGTTCCCTAGAATCTAGATATCTATTATCTACTCTAGATCAAAAATCTATCAGAATTCATAGTTTTAAAAGGTCTTCAACATCACAGTACGTTGGCAAAAATATAGGGAATAAAAAATCTGAGTTTGTTGCAAGAACTCAGTTCGTAATTAGTGTGGATTATACTTTGTAACTTTCGGTGTAAAACCAGGATTCAGAAACTTTTATTTGCAAATAAATATTTTTATTACTGTACGAGGATGTTCACCTTTCCTCATGTATGAATCAAATATATAGATTACAATATTCAGCTGCTGGTGGGTATATTACTGTACGAGGATGTTCACCTTTCGCAGTAGAAAACTTCTCAAGAAATCTCCAGCAGGGGATTGCTGGCACATATTGGAAGGTAATTTTAATAATTAAAGGGGGTGTTCGCCAATCTGAAAAGGGGGTGAAGAATATCTTTCCTGTCCCGACACCAGAATCGCCATAGAAGGGACTTATTTATTTGGTGTACTGCCCCTTGCTAAATATAGTCTGTACGTTAACTGTACTCCTTGCTCTAGCTGATTAAAACTCGGATGTCCGAATGGTTCTGAAAAATGCCAAATAATTGTTTGGCAAAAGAAGCTATGTATTTCGTAAATATATATCATAAATATTCATTTGGTAATTTTCTTCCTTTAATTGGTCATGAAGCATTGGTATTGGTATATAATTTAATGGACAGTCGAAATAGAAGGAAGCCAGGCAGAGCAATGTCTATTAATAGAAGGAAGCCAGGCAGAGTTATGTCTATCAATAGAAGGAAGCCAGGCAGAGTTATGTCTATTAATAGATCGCTAGATTCCAAATAAAATTAAACATGAAGAAACAATGAGACTTAATCATCTTTGGATAAGGAAGACGACATTTAAATCATCGTATACACAACTAGTTTTACCAATAACTTGAAAATCAACGTATTAAATAGAAGCATTGCACGATTCCTGTGCTTCACATTTATTGTATCAAAATCATAAATTGAGTCTAACAGTCGTCTTTCCAATCCACAGAATTTGAGTGTCTCACGTATTAACATGGTTGTTATTTTTCTAATTTATTTCAGCATGGAAACTCATTCTCCCTTTGTAACTTCGACAACTGCAACTCATCTTCCAAATTCCAGGTAGCAACAACAGTAATATAATAATTATTATTATTATTATTATTATTATTATAATAATAATAATAATAATAATAATAATAATAATAATAATAATAATAATAATAACAATAGTAATAATAATAATAATAATAAAAATACCTGAATTACAATCTACTGGAATGTTCCTGTCTGTCTCGAATGGCCAATAAACTCCACAGTTATCCTCAAACCTGAAAACAGTGATTTTAACATTACGAATATAAGTTAATACAAAAATTGCCTTGCATTAATAAATTTAATCTTTTAAAATGTTATGTATATGAATGAATACATTTAAAGTGCCTGTTTTAAAAGTTAAAATGCATTTTTTAGCTTTTTAAAAAATCTGTTTTTATTTTCCAAGATAATCTATACTCTGACCTGTCTTGAGTAAATCTCTCTTTAGACCATAATCCTGAGGGTTTCTTCTGATCCTCTGTACTACTACACTGGTAGCATTTTATGCTCAAAACTAACAAAATATAATATTAATTTATTAACATCGAACTGAAATTTCTCCGGCCTTTTTTTAAATCTGTATATCATTTTTCTGGAGATTTTTTTTTTAATAAACGTTTTGAAAGATGCAAAACAAAAACTAGAAAGTTACAAGATCGCAAAGTCGTTCCAGTTTTTCCAGTTCCAGGTTAAAAGAACTTTTTTCTTTTTTTGAGATTCGAAAGAATTGGAAGTAGAAAAGGCAAAGAAATGGTGTAAAAAACACCATGCAAGGATGTCAGTATATTCCAATTTTAATTTATATCTGCCATTAAAGCATACACAACACACGTGGTGGAAATTTTAAACCCTTTACAAATTAAAACTTCTTTTAAAATAGAAAATTTAAAAAATCATTTTCTTTTCATAATTTTTTTACCTTTATCAATGCTAACTGCTGCTAATAGAGAGAACAAAAAAAGAGGTTCACGCATTTTTTTCTAAAATAAACAATTATCAATAGATAAAACTTTATTATAATAAAACTTTGTGATCTAATTATTATTAAATAGTGTATAAGATGCTATTTACGATAAGAGTATATTATCAATGTTCATTAAAGTCCTTATTGAGAACAAACAGAAAGTATAAAAAAACGATGTTATCAAGTGAAAAGAAAAGTTTAGGGATATATGGTTAAAAAAAGTAAAGTATCGAAAAGCATTAAAATCTAATTTTCATCAAATCTTTTCTTGAGTTTATGTCATTAACAAAACTGGTTCTGAAATGCATGTGGGTTTATTTTGTAACTTTCCACTTATATTCTTTAAAATAAAAATCTAAACATAATCCTTCAACAAAACATCATACAGTACAGTGATTCCCTGCTAAACATGAAATATATTCACAAACAGTTATTTGTGCCACGTTAAAATTTTACAACTAAAAGTAGTAATTTTAATGGTATTGTAATGTAAAAAATAAATAAAAAAAATCTTGAGAACAATGTTTTATATCACATTTCAATTACAAATTTTTACAATTTTTGTAATTCTTGTTTACTAGTTATATTTATATATTTCTACCTGTCCTTTGCACTGGGCGCGTGAGGGGGGTGGCAGGTATATGAGGGGGGTGGGTAGTTTAATAATTTAATTTATGTTTATGTTAATTTAGTATCGAATTGTGCTAAAAATGCACGTTTTTATTTATACTATGAAAAAAATATGTAACACGTANCCCCCCCCCCCATCCATTGGAAGCCAAGAAGGTAAGTAAACTGCCTGAAACCACCTGTTTTTAACCACTATCTATCTATCTCCCTACTTACTACAACCACACACCTAATATCTATCTATCTATCAATATACCCAGCGTATACCTGCCTTTAAGCATATCCGGAGAATCAGTTTTAAACCGACTCAACAGATTTTATGTAAACAAAATATTATTTAAAAGAATACGTGTTGTATACATACAAACATGATAATTACAATATTACATGCAAATTAATGCGTTTCTTTTAAGATGTGTTATTGAAAATTGAAAAATGTCTTAGAAATAAATATGCTCTAAGATGTCATTGTTATTATTGTTTTTGTTATTGTTTTTTTTCAGGATGTATTTTATATTAGAAACTGTCTTTCGAAATTCTTTAAAATATTATTTATTATTAACTTAATAACAATGTACGTCTAAAACTTGTATAAGCATGTAATGTAGATACGATAAGTTATGATTTATAGACTAATATTTTTCAGAATTAATATGATGCAAAATTGCAAAAACATTTTCTCCACGATTCTTTTGATTGTGTTTTCCCTTCATTTAGGTGATTAGTTTAGTTAATTTAGCCAGGAGGCCTCTTTAAAATTACTGTTTGCTTATTTGTGAACTTTGAATTAACGGACTTGATTACTCGTCTCATACTCAGACTGTATCCTCCTAATATTTTTTTGCAACCTGATTTACTACTTTGCACGCACTATGTTAGACTAAAATTGTTAAAGTTTAATATATCTACATAATGATTACACCGCTCATGTGGTTTGCTAATATATAGTTGGTATGTAGTATTAGAGTTTGAGGGATTTGAGGCAAGAAATCAGTTTTTTTAAATAGTTTAAATAGTTTCTATGAAAAGTACTTATTAGCAAAGACACAACATATCATGGGCCTTTCTAAAAATTTCTCTAATGGCCTAGTCTTTAAAAGTGAATTTTTCTAATGTTCCTAGTCTATAATTGTAATCTTTTCTAATGTTCCTAGTCTATAATTGTAATCTTTTCTGTGGTTCTTGTTTTAATAGTAAATTCCTTTGATTTTCTTATCTTTAATAGTAAATCTTCTTAACGCTCAATTGTCTTTAATAGAAAATTTTCAAATTACTTTTAAATAAAATTATCAGTTTAAAAAGAGGTATACTTTTAATATCAGCTATATAAAACTAGGGCTATGTCATCTACATAAGAATTGGGTCTAAAGATCTGGTTTATTATGTTTACTGTTTAGGATCTGGTTTAAAATGTTTACTGTTTAGGATCTGGTTTATAATGTTTACTGTTTAGGATCTGATTTATAATGTTTCTGTTTAGGATCTGGTTTATAATGTTTACTGTTTAGGATCTGATTTAAGATGTTTACTGTTTAGGATCTGGTTTAAGATGTTTACTGTTTAAGATCTAGTTTAAGATGTTTACTGTTTAGGATCTGGTTTAAGATGTTTTGAGTGTAGATCTGACGAGGTCGCTGGGTGCGGGGATCCGGTTGCTATTCGTAAGTATCTCGGAGACGGAAATTTAAAAAAGTAGCGATAAACAAAACTCCTAGTTTTCTTTTAAGGGTCTATACTCATATATATTTGCGTAAATTTTAATTCAAGAAATCAGAAAAACAAAAAGTAAATGTTATAAACCACATAAAATGATATTTCTTACCAATAATTTTGGTATCTACCAGTGGCGGACATAAGGGGGGTTATTGGGGTTATTTATTAATATTCAATCAGGTGTCAGCAGGATTATTGTTCCTTCTATACTCCCTCCACAGTGTCCTGGTATAGCACTTTAATCAATAAAAAGGAGAAATACTAATACCTTGCTAGAAACCAGTTTTAATAAAAATACTGAGAAGATAGTACTTTGTTCTTTAACTTTTTTGCATTAAATTTTATAAAACTTCTGCGAAGTTACTTTTGATCAAGTTGAATTGTACTTATTGCAATATTTGTAAAAGGTATTTTATTATTATTGTGGTATTGCGCACTGTGCAGTGAAAAATTGTTTTTACGTTTATACTTTTTTAGTCTAAATGTTAAGTTAAAAAAGCATAATAATGTAAATCCACATTAGTATTTTCTCTTAACATATTATGTATTTATTTTATAAAACAATAAAGATTTTTCAGTATTTGTATTGTTTTCGTGTAATTGTTTCTGTAAAATCTACACAAGTGATTTTTTTCAGGTTTAAAATGCACGTTCAACAATGTACACTTGAATATTCGGGCCAACCTTTGCGGTCCTAGTTTACAATTACTAAAGCGTTAGACCTATGGGAATGATCTGACCCATGATTTATAAAAGTTTGGCGTCAAGAAGAATATGCAAGAAAAGTTTCTTCAAAAAACAATGTCATGAAAAAGTCAATTTTTTGGAACGAATAGGTTGTATCAAGGGATATCGTACTAAAGCCAAGATGATTAGGCAAGGAAAGTTAATTGCTGTTGCGTATTCTCTGCGTACATATTGAAACCAGTTCTTTCTGGGTGGTGTTTGTAAACAAGAATAGATGAATTAGTGCTCCTCTTGTATCCGAGGAGGATAAAAGCATTTAATTTTGAAAATTTTGATAATTTCCAGAACAGTTTCCTATAACCAGAATATTTCATTGATATTTTATGTGAAAGATGGATCCCATTTCAGGCTGTTACATCCGTCTTGTGTTTACTTTACAGCCCAGAGACAGTGCACCGTAGTACTAAAAAAGAGTACACCTCTAAAATAACTATCTTTACATTATAATTCTTTGTCTAAAGCCAAGGTTGTAATGCAAGGAAAGTTAATTACAGTTGCTTATACTCTGCTGCGTACATATTGAAACCAGTTCTCTCTGGGCGGAATTTGTAAACAAGAATAGATGCATCAGTGTTTGTCTAGTATCCGAGGAGGTTAAAGCATAAGATTTTAATAATTTTGATAATTTACATATTAGTTTCATATGACCAGAATATTTCATTGATTTTTTATGTGAAAGATGGATCCCATGTCAGGCATCGACATCCGTCTTGTGTTTACATTACCGCACATAGACAGTACACTGCAGTACAAAAGATGCTTACACCTCTGAAATAACTTTCCTTGCATTATATCCTTAAAGCTATGTTTTCATGAAAAGCTCAGCTGAGCCCGCGATTTAAAATATTTGGGAAAATACGGCTCGGGTCTAAGTTGTCGATGGGCATTATTTACGGCTTGAGCTTTCGAATTCAAGCTGAATCTTATTTTCCGCAGAGTTGAGTTCAAAAAACCGGTTTAATATTCTATTTGGCGGATTTTCATGGTAGGAATTGGCACATTCCGGGTTTTGATGAGAACAAGACTCAACATTGAGCCTTATTTTCCACTAAAACCAACCAATGTCGGTTTTATTTTCATTGGGCCTAACTCCTTAAGTCGAGCCGAAGATCTTGCAGCTGTCAATCATGTGAAATAAAACTGTCATCAGAGTTGGGTCGAAGATTGGGTCTTAAAGTTAGGTTTAAGGAATCACGGCTCGAGCCGAAGGTTTTAAATCGTGGGATCTGTTTTCTGGGAAAAATATGTTGGGTCAGTGTACTCCAAATTACTGCAGTACAGACCCTTAGTTAAGGGTGTTTTATACTTCACAAAACCAAAGAAATATATTTACAAACTGCAAAATTAAGTGATACTGCAATTCCTTTTAGCTAAATTTGATGGTGAAGTACACTTACAGGAGAAGCATAACACAACTGCTATTGTTTACATTTATAATTGGTAAATTTCTCCTCTGCTATACAACATTTCTATTCTTAATCCCCGACTCCCTTTGCTGTTAATTTGAACAATTCTATTTATTTTGCCCTCTTCTTATAAGAGGACTGTAAACCTAATTTCGTTAATAGTGGCATGTCCGATTCTCAACGGTACCCGTATACAGCTTTGTCTGATCAAGTACTAAATATGAATTATATACAGTTTTTTATTATTCTATTTGTGGGGTTTCTACAAAAGTGACTTACGCATATCTTGCTACAAAACATTGAAAAACCTTTAGAATCAAATATTTTTAAAGCTTAAAAAACGACGTTATCTTCCACAATATTTATCGGATTAAGGTTTCAATTAGAGTCATTTGAAATTATCCCTTTGATGCACATGTAGTCTCTGGATCCACAGAAGGCATTTATAAATAAGTACTTAGTTCAAGAACTATATGCAGTATTCATTTCTTAAAATTCGTATTTTAAATCCTTTAA